CGAATTTCCAAGAAATAAAGATAAGGCCAAATCAACCTCCTTTTATATAAGTACATATAGTTCCAGCCGGCTATCATCAGGTAGTTTTATGACCTTTTGTAACGAAAACTCCTCCAATTTCCGAAATAATAAAAAATTTAAACTTTACTCGTCGCAAATCGGTTTCAACTTTCTATTCAAATGTCAATTTTCAAGACGTCTGAACAAAACCAGACAGAACTTAAAATGACTTTGAAGGAATAAATCTAAAAGAACGAGTTCAAATATGTGTAGGAAATATGATTTTCGTCGGCACTTCTTAATAGTAAAAAAAGTTTAAAAGACATGCATTCTAGAAAATTGGTCAAATAACTACAACCCTTTTACATACGTAGTAAATACACTATGTGCTGACTCAATATTGCCTCTCTTACATACTTATAGTATATTTATGCATCCCATCCAATTGTGAATGTGTACAGCCGTTATGAACGTTAAAAACCATATATACTTAATAAGTGGTGGGTGAATACATAATTGGCCGTTGTGTTGCAGGGATTAGTGCATATGTAATAACGGCAGTGATTCCTGACAGGATCTGATAAGTCAAGCATGTTGTGTATATGTATGACGAATTATCAATACCTCGTCTCTCCTGCTCTTTTAACCACAGGAATAGCACTTACAATCTCATCATATCGGTGACCAGTTATTAAGCATACACGTTGTTACCACCACGGCTGGGTCGTACAAGCAGGATCAAACCTCCGCCAAACATATTTGTATTATCATTCTCAACCAAAGTTTCCAAATATGTTATCTGGCAAATATTTGCTCAAGCTTTCGTTCATCCGGCTTTCATGAAATTTCAAATCTGTCCACAACCACAAACATGCCAAGCAAAGTTCATACTCTACTCAACACTATTTGATATGATACTTTCAGTCCAATATCACCAATATGAAACATTGTATTCCGATACTTAAAATATTAATGGAATACATACAGTTTTATTTTGTGAATTTAGTTAAAGATTTACACATGTCGGAATGAACAAGTTTAAAGATTTCCAAATACTGTAAGGTTATATCGCCATACTTAATTCCAACAGCTAATAAACACGACAATCTATGTTTGGTTCGTCAAATAATATTACATTTTACGACACACCAAGAGTTATCCCCATGCCCATGGGCAGTGATGACAGGCCCCCTCCCCATAAGGGCACTATTCTAATAAATGTCCAAAATGCTGGGCATATTGTAGACCTATCCACAATCTACTTAACGATCGATCCGGAAAATTAATAACATTCTGATCTGATTGTTCGAGCTCGTTTGGAAATCAAAATTCGTGTCAAAATTGTCCTTCGCAGAGCACACACAGCTGTCACAAATAGAATTGTTATGTTTTGTCCTTAGGATATGTTTTGCCCAGACTTGCTCACAAACCACTAGTGATTTAGATACAGGGAAAGTCAAGCAAATGTACAATATAAACCTAATAAGACAGAAATATTGTTTGTTTTGATAACTCGTCCGACTCTGGCGATTGATCACCAAGCTTCGAGACCATCATAACTATCAGACAATGCATCACCCTACGAAAAAGTTGGGAGTGTCAGCTATAAAACGCTAACTGGAAGTTTTGGGGAATGTGATATATTCACAACCCGTTTCATACAAGAATGACAAAACTAATGTTACAATCACTAATTAGCTCGTGCTCTTGTCAAGTGTTTCCAATATTTTATACTGGGCCTCCTCAGACACACGAAAATATCGTCGCTTAGAATTTCGCTTCGTTTTTCGCTTACTTCATGATAAGCGAGCTCTCGGATAAGCGACCAAAAACTCCACTCAGAAGTGGGGTTAAGGTCGGTTAGTTGAAGTCTCAACAAAATTTTGCAATTTTCATAATTTTGGCAATGCTATCGATACGCGAAAAACAAAGCGAAATTCGAAGCGACGATTTTTTCGTGTGTCTGAGGAGGCCCACTACTTTAGGTGAGATCTAACCACCAATCAACAAATGAACAAAACACTTATGCTATGACATCCACCCCACAGAAAATGTGGAAAGTAGGACAGCTTTAACCTGAAATGAAACGTACAGTGAAAGGCTTGAAGTATCCAAGAATTTTAGGATTAGGAGGACCTAATTGTTCACAAATAAGTCCTGTGCTGGAATTTGGTAAATGTAAACTCATTAGTTCGAGTAATGACTTTTGAACTTAGGTGCATGGACTGCTGGGATGCTTCGAACTATGAATGGGTTCCAAATTATGAATTCTGAAGAGCGACACACCTTCACAAATATTGGTTGAGTTGGTGGTTGTTTGAATTATGAGGAAACACACATGTAAAACGTACTGCAATATGTCGTCGGTATACTTACTCATCGTTGATGGCGATGTCACTTCCTTCCGGTCTTTGAATGTCACAAATGTGTGATGAAAATAAATGGTGCTAATAAATGGTGGCACACACCTTCTTATTAATAAATGCGTTTATTGCCCCCCTCGAACGGACTGTCAACCGGCAGGGAGTAATAGATGTCAATTGTCATTAGAATCAGGACCTTTATACCCAGCAACGGTTTACTTTTAAATCCCATGTTCCCCTGTCCAACTAAAAAAATACATCGCATCCCTTGCATCCCTTCTACTCGAGTACAGAAATTATTAGTATAAATGAGAAGTGGTTGTTACGAAGCATATCAACATGCAATCGCCTGTACAAGTTATGTAAACGCAAACTACAAACCACTTTGTTAGCTGGCAGGCTCAAGTACGGAAACCGGAAACGCTTCTTGGTTTGTGACAACGCATGTAATAGCTGCATTTTCCACACATTATAACTTTTACAATTGTTCTCTCCCCCCATCGCGTCCTCTCGCTCGCTCTCCATTCCAGTCACGACGGACACCTGATCAAGTATGGTACACACTATTCAGCTTTAAATAAAAATCGACCTGAATGTCCTGTATTTCTTTGTTTCGAATAAAATTATGGTTTTCAGATTATCATAAAATCTATCTGCATGTATCTCATTGTCATTTTACAGGTAGGGAAGAGTGAGTGTGCAAGAGCTGTTGGATATGTTTCCTGAAGGAACGATGTGACATATGGGGCTACAAAACACGGGTAGTTCCCGTGGGAGGAGTATATTCAATGCTTATTATATGTAGTCCCAGTATTTGGTATTTGGTCACCAACAACATTCTCGATTGGCAAGGGATGCTTTGAGGAATTATACGCTACATTATTTTAGATTCATTATTTAGATTGGAGCTTAATAAAATTTATAATTCGGACCATTCACGACATATTGAACTGAAATGACGATAGGTGAGAATGAGGAACAATTCAATGACCGATAAGTAAAAGAGAAGCTGATTGCGATAAGACTACCTCGCCTAGTTCTCAAATGACGAAAATATAAGACGGCAGGAGAGTCACTGTGACTGTGACTTCTGTCGGAGGATTACTTTGTGTGTTGAAGGGAAAATTGAGACATCACGATTATAAATTTACTATAGGTTTCTTCGGTCGATGAATTTTGCTAGTTTTCTATTCGTCCGTTATTAAAGTTGAATATTTGATGAAATTAAATTGCGTGACTTGACTTCTTCTTATATGGAAAAGTAGAATAGTAATTGGCCCTGCCCCACAGCATATGTATTGTATAAGAAAGAAGTGTCCATGCAGTCAGTATCAACTAAAGCTCAAAATAATACAGAGGAAGGATATGAAACATTAACGCATGAGACAATATAAATGTCTAGAATGCTGCTGTATGGGTGTAACTCACACAACCATATTTTTCAATTTACTAATTGCTAATTACTTGGGTGCTAAAACAATATTTATTGACAGGAAGGTCCACCCATAAAGTCAAGTGGATATGGGAACAAGGCGAATAAGGCACAAAAAACTGGTGGGTGTGCAAATCTCAATTAAAAATACACCGAGTTGTATTATTGCAATCAATAATAATAATACATGGAAATGAAATTAATGTAGTCTCCCACACTCCATATGCAGTTGACGTCGTCTACTCTTCAGACACACATTATGTTTCGCATGTGTGCATAATTTGAAACCAACATCATCAATGAAAAGGGAGGCGATCAACTATAAATTTTTCACAAGCTGAAAGAAACTACATATATATAGCATTTGCAAATGGGAGGTTTTCCGAAGTGGGTGCAATTTGAATTTTATGGTAATTCATCGGTATTTTATGAGCGCGATAAAAGCAGAGAAATCCCACATCAGCAGTCTTCATATGAGTTTTGCCACATTTAGAAATATACACACTTAAGAAAAAACTTAATAATTCAAAGTCCCTTAATGGGTCTTCGTGATGAATATGGCTCAAAAAAGCATAAGCATTCAATTTAGTGGCTAAGAACATAATTTAAATTCTCGTGGTAGATGGGCTGCCAATATACATGCATACCCAAACTAATGAGAATGGCGACAGGTGAGTTTGTTCAACAAACTATCATCCCCAGAGTAGCTTTCTCTTATACGAATTATTACAAATGTGCTAATGATGATTTCATCAGAAAGTAAACAATATTAAACTGGTGTGTACATAATTATTGTACACATAGAAAGGATTCAAGAATGCCACACCTGAACCAAGCATTTAAAAAATGACAGAATATGCACAATTATAAAACCTTGCAATGCTGGATGACGTGAGCAAGAACGAAATGAATTAAATTACCTCAGCTAATCTAATGCACACGTTCGTATTTGGTGAATTGGTATTAAGTATGTAATGTCTGTATTTAGAATAATACACGTGTGCCTACAACAGAGTACCAAATAACCCTCAGTTCTAATACGATTGGCAGTTTCTAATATCCTGAAAGTATAAGGATCAAAGTAAAGAATTGACTAATTCCTACCTGCAATAATTAGCTTAGCATTGATCATATCTACTAAATAGTTTTTGAAGACATAAAATGTGTTTACGAGGTACTCATGCAAAAAACCAAAAACAACTGACCTTTTGAATCTCTTGTATTTTCTGATTTAGCCGGATTTCTGCATTCTATAAAAATCATTAATAGTGTCACTCCCACAACTGTATACTAATTCGCTGTATACTAAAATTAACCTTCTCAAGTTCTTCCACGTAACGATGCAGTCTTGCAATTTCATCCTATACCAAAATATTAAAATGAACGCATCTGTAAATATGTCCAACTTTTGTATTGAATTTTTACATTTTTGAAGCCAATTTGTTTTTCAAACGTTTCCTTTTCCTTGGCTAGCTCACTATGAAATTCGTCGGCGTTTGTCTGATCTTTAGGCACTCCATCCGACAGTGATTTCAACTGCTCAATCTAAATACAAATACAGAAATAGCATAATATATAAAATATGAATACTTTTGATGCCTAAAATAAAAATACGGACCACTACCTCTTTTTTCTGTTTTGCGCAAAATTCCTGCAAATCTGCGAAAGCCTTTTTTGTTGCAGCTAGTTCAGACGATTCCCCACCATCTACCAAATAAATTCCAGTTCAATGTCCAAACAATGCACTCACAAGTACACAATCCTATAAATAGTGCTTATTTCATTTGTGTTTACTTACCGTTGATTTCGTCTTCATCTTCCGGAGACTCTGCCAAAACTTCCTTTGTGAAGTTGCTGATTTGTCCTTTGATATTTGCAAAACTTTCACCAAACCACGCCATTCTCAAACATCAAAATCATCTCTGTCTTACTGAGAGAGAGAAAGAGACGGATTCAATTATGTCTATTCAGTGTAACAGATAACTGAATTAACAAGTGTTCCTTCGTCTAGCGTTAAAATATTCTGAAAATCAAAAGCACCAAAAAATACAGATTTACATCATACCAAATTAAACTTGTGTTACTAAAGTTCAGTCACAAATTGTGAAATGTGCAGCACATGTTCACAATTTGTGAGTCACAAATTGTGACTCTGTAAAACGAAACTTTGCAAAACTGGATTAATGGTTAAGCCAAATATTTTACTTGATCAGGACCGGTGATCTCCGCTTGAAGGGTTGGTTTATGCGGAAATAGCACAGCGATTATGAGTGAAACCCATGTTTTATAACTCCAAAAGAATTCGTAGACAGGATACTTCACATTTGGCAAATGTGGAATGTTTCTATTGCTCCACATGACAGCAGGCAAGATCCTATTTACTCCATTCCAATATCGCGGGTCTGCTGATGAATTTTGATACGGACACGTCGCAGCTTCGATGATCATGACTCATTGTCAGTTGGAACCACGGCCCCCACATTTTCCAAAGAGAATGATATTTTTATCATAAACAATAGCACACCACTATTTATTCCAGAATCTTGGCATTTATTTCCATGTAGTCATTGCGAAATTGCAGCGTTTACATAAAATTTAAGTGATGAGTTGACCATAATTTTAAAAATATATGCAGAGGGACCGGAGAAATAATAATGTGTCCACATAAGCATGATAACACCATTGTTGACGGTTCAAGTGCTATGATATATATTACTCCTTGGTTGTCCGCGTGGCAATATAGGAAGGTATTACATTAATTTAATTAATTATTTTAGTCCCTACTTGCAAAATACGTTATAAATATCTAGTACGCTATGACTCAAACAACAATATGTAAATAATGTCAACACAAATTCATTTACAAGAATTATAAAAACTTCAATAACTCTAAGTGATCGTTTTACTGACTTTTGCCACCAGAAAATCTATTTCTTTGCTTCTATTTCATAAAAAATCTGCGATATTCGCATTCATAGACTAAAAGTCGCCACATTTTTACTACAAAGACCTCTGCTTCTTCATCCAAAACCTACAAGTCATAAAAAATTAATAAACAAATCCATCAATATGTCGTAATTAATGGTAACTTACCATCACAACATCTTCAAGGATGCTTTTGGGGGCACTACGTCCTAAAACTTTTGAACATATAAAATCTACCAAAGTCGGCTCTGGCTCTCCGATATATTCGACAATTTTCTTATTAATCCATGGTCGAATGCGCTTTTCCATTAAAGACTGAAATATATATACATTGTTCTCAAAGCTACCAATAAAGCATTAATAATCGTTGTAGTTCTTACCGAATCAACCATCTCCCAATCAATTTCATATTCAAAGAGGGCATCCTTATCTGTAGGTATCTTGTCGATTAATGCTTTGATATTTTGTTTTTTCTCTTCGGGGTTTTTGTCCTCTTTCCTGGCTTTCTTGTTGGCTTCATCTCCAAAATCTGCAACAAAGTATAAACCAATTTTAATATTAATGTAACACAAAAATCAATGGTGTACAACCCATATAATAATAGTGTAAAACCTAATGGAACAAGCTTCCGTTTCCGAGCAAGACCAAAACCGTCGGTGTCATCCTCATCTTGGTTAAAAACATCTTTCACATCCATCTTTTTCCTTTTTGGAGCATCAAGTGGACTATGCATTGATGAGTCATCTGGTAAAAACATTAAACACAATTAATTACAATATTTAAAGGATATTTCCAACTGCTAAGTTTATAGTTTTTTTTAAATTTAAATTACCGTCATCTCTGCTGCTAAAATTTTGAGGGCTGACACTGGCCATGCCAGGGGATGGAGCTGGAGAGAAACTTTGTCGTGAATCTTCATCATCCTTTCCAATTGGTGACTGATTAAAAATATGCGCAGTTTTAGTAGCTGAAGCCGGACTCTTAATTATTGAAACCGCCGGAACAGGAGATATCAACGGGTTTGGTGTAGTTGGATTCGACAACATCTTAACACCTGAGACGGGGGGATTGGCTGGGACTGAAGATTTTTTAGATTCTGGAATTTCAAATGGGGTTTCTTCCTTGTTATTAGTGTCAGAAACATGATTACTGCTTGAATATGCTGCTGTCGTAGCATTAGTAGAAGCAGAACCAGTTTGTGACTGAGTGCTTGCAAGTGTTTGAAGTCTGCTATTAATTGAGGGCTTCAATTCCATCTTTAATCCTGAAAAGAGTGGCGATGGAGTAGTTGGTGAAAGAGTGGACAGTTCTAAAGAAGGTTTCTTATATTTATCTAGTAATGAAGATGTGGAGGCAATTGTAGAAGTGCTGTTGGAATTGGGAGTGGCCCTTGCAGCGCTGGTCATCATTCTCAGCTTCATTTCTTCAAGTTCTTCTCGCTCTCTCTGTCTATCCTTATTGTCATCTTCCAATTCTCTAGCTCGATCACCGAGTCGTTTTTGAAGTTCCTTACCCCTGAAAGCAAATATATTTAGTGAATATTAATTTAGTAATTAACCAACCATCATCGTTTTTAAATAAAACATATACTCACCTGAAATATTTTGAGTCATATTTCTCGTCATCATAATCCTCTAAAAATTGCTTCATTTTCTTGGCCTCTTTCTGCAATTCTTCTTCTTGACGTTTCAGTCTATCTTTTATTTTTTTGTATTCACGAGTCTTTTGTGCTTCTCTAGTTTCCCAGTCTCGTAGCCGTTGTTCATATGCAGCTTCTTTCTCCCTTGCTTTCCTTTCCAATCTTTTCTGATCAACTTGTTCCTCCTCCTCCTCACGTTCTCTGTATCGTGGTTTAGGCCCGAGAGATATTGGTCCAGGCGAGCGAAGAATCCTTTCCACTGAACGTGACTTTGATCTTCTCTCCCTGCTCCTTCTTCTCCTATCCCTCGACTATTTGCCCCAGCAAAAATAACAAAGATTAGATGAAGGTAATGTCCAATTTAAATGATAGGCTACATACCCTGTCACGGCGATCTCGATCCCTCCTGTTGTTATCACGGCGATTATTATTATCTCGGTTTATGCCTCGGTCTCTATTTCCTCGTTCTCTACTGCCACTCTTTTCCCTTCTAGGAGTAAAAGATAACCGTTATAACAAAATTTTAGACACGTAACAATAAATTGGCTTATAGTTATTTTAACAGCTTTACCTGTCTCTTCCTAATAAATGATCTGGTGAAGTAATATCTTCCGCTCCTTTATTACTCTCCCTCTCACGCTGACGCTTTCTTTCTTCCCGTTCGCGTTCTTTCTCTCTTCGTTCCCTGCCCAGTCGTTTCCTTTCCTCCTCACGTTCCTGTTCTTGCTGTGAACCAAACAAACAAAGAAACAAATTTTTAAAACACTGAAAACAAACATGAAAATGCATCTCCTTGATATTCTTTGTGTCCTTTGTGGTGGTGGATAAAAAGCACCATCAAGTCTACACGCAGTTAGATTAAGTAAATTGTCTTAAACTAGGGTAAAGAACTTCATGACTCATCTAGCACATTTAATTGAAACATTATAGTATAAGTAAAACTAACGTCCAAAGCACATAATTGCCCTGCACAGCAATAATCCGAAGGCACAGGAAGAACATGGTCCGATTTCTTTACTCACTTTTGGCTTCCTCCGCTGGAAATAGGTCATTTAAAGGATCCAATATCATTACATGGCAGTCATCAACTTCACAACAACTGTCAACAAATTGGCAACGGACTGGCCTCCGATTTATTAGGAAACAATATGAACTTTGGGGAGACAAGGGAGGGGCGTGATGGGGGAGGACGCATGAGAAAAAACTTACAGACCCGTCCCGTCAAGCATGGTGAACCGCTCTTAAGCTTCCGTTCGACACATATCCCGGTGTGTGTCGCTTGACTGAAATCGTCAACAATAAATTGACACTTGTTGTCTAATGCACGTCACTTAAATAAGAGGGATGATATGCAAGTTATGACCCTGTAGAGTAGTAGTAGCAGCACACAAGGTACTGAATGAAGGGACTTACCCTCCAACGCGCCCTTGAGTCAGACGTGGAGGTAGATCAGAACATGATGACGTGATGGGTGGAGTGATTGATTGATTGATTGATTAGGACTCGGGGTCAGGAACGCTTCAACCAATGTGAATGACTATGGGTAAAAATGGTTCCCGAGAGAGAATGAACTAGCAGTCACACGATTTAAAAGAGAGGAGGAAATAATTAAGGGAATCAATTTTTAAAATAAAGCATACGATCTTAATATCAAGTCCGATGCGTCAAATAATATAGAATTAGTAGTTACATATTTAAAGTCAGTTACTCACCACCTCGGAAACACCTTGGCACTCATACCGTTATCATATGACTTATTGGTCGCAGACAGGATGTCAGCCTGATCGCATTGCCTAATCAATGGAGTACCCATCATAATCATTATCGTCTCCATATACACACCCAACCAAAAATAGGTGCTAAGCATTTAATGCAATTCAAGTTTCAAGTGGTTTTTTGGATAGGAAAGGAGGGGCAGAATTAGTAAATGAATATCTTAATCTAATCAATTCTTATTTCACCAAGAAAACCAAAGGCCATATAATAGCCCATTTCCATGATCTTCCATTTTAGGAATCAAGAACAGACAGTGTCATCATTGATGTAATAAAGTTACCTTCATGCTTTCCCGAAAGATGCTGATCTCTCGAGTTATAATTTCTCTTTTCCCCTCGTCTTGGGCTAGTTCCTCTGGCAAATCCTACAAAATCGACAATTTTATTAAGTATATACATTAATAACATTGTTAAACATAATAATCGAACTGCATACAAATAGTCTTACCGGATCATCGCCCAGCATACCAGAACCAGCTAAAGTTGCGTCAATACTGCTCAATTTCAGCAAGTGTAATTTATCTTGGATTTGCTGCTTGCTCCCAGCCGCATCTACAAAAAATACGAAAGATTAACAGGATTCCATTAAATTGTTGTATTATTAGGTGCATATGTATCGTAAAATAAAATAAAAAATTTCCAACCAGCTTTTGCTTTCTCGCTTCCCGGTGGGATGTAAGCCTCAATTTCATTCTTAAATTCTCTAAATATGATTTCAACCCTTTGTTTAGATCTTTCGTCAAACTCCTTCATCTCGTGATCCATATAGTCCGCAATCTCTCCGTCTTCAGATTTCGACCCATCGCCACTGCCATTCTTCTTTCCTTCGTCTGATGATTCATTCTTTTTTTTGCGTTTTTCAGCTAAACAAAGCACACAACAAAATTCATAACACACATTACAAATTAATTAATTAAGGATTGGGAGGAAATCAATTACCTTTGTATTCTTCTAAAAGTGATTGAGTTTTGGCATCTACTTTGACGACCATCTTTTTATCACCAACTTGTAAGTCATGTAACAGTCTAACAGCTCTTAGACCTGCGTCAGGACCATTGAATTCACAGAATCCAAAACCCTGCAACTTCCCAGACGCTCCTTGAACCCTTTTCCAGTTTATGACTTGTCCACATGTAGACTGAAATGGAAAAGTTACAAGAATTTACTATTTCTACTTTATGTTGGTCTTTCGAACAAACCAAACCAACTTACCAATAGTTGTCTAATCATTGCATCTGGCCACTTCTCAGTTATGTTTCCAACAAATACGGTTACTGGAGGGCCAGTTGGTTGAGGATATGGCATAGGGTGGTCCATCGGCTTCTCGTCCAACATTGGTGGCTTGGTGATAGTGTTATTTCGCATCAACGGGGGAGGTACATTTGTGTTTGGAGGCATTGGTGGACCGCCATAAAACTGGTTTCCCCCTTGTCCTGGCATTAAAGGTGGAATTCCCATTGGTGGCATTCCTGTAAAAATGTCAATTTCAATTTCATCGTTCTTTTCAAGTTGAGTACGGAAAATAGTGAAATACTGCACAAAATCACATACCTCCAGGAGGTCCACCAAACGACCCGAACATGGGAGGCATCCCCATATGATGTGGTGGTCTTGGAGGGTACGACATATTTCGCCAATACACACAGACTACACCGTTGACAGTATGGCTACTACTAGAATTCTAATCTGATTCGATGTATTAATTTGATTTTCTCTGTAATCTCGACTTTGTCTTTACTTTTTCTTCTCAACTTTACTTATTTTCTGTAAATAAATTCCATGATTATATAATTTCTGTGAGAACACAAACACAATAGATGACAAAATAGAAATAAACCAATTTATTATTGATATTACAAAAATATATTGAAATATATATACCCTTTGATTAGAGTGATTACCCCTTACGGTGATAACCCATAGGGAGGAGCACTTATTGTGGAATAGTAGCAGCAATTTGCGATCAGTTTGATAATTAACAATTAACTAACTAATTGTAGTTATGCTAATATTATGGATGTAAAAAGACTATTCCAAAAAAAAAACGTACTTCACCTTGCTTGCTAAATAAAATAACTCGAGATTAATAATTAACTAACAATTATTTTGTTTATGGGCTGACGACGAGAAGCCGTCTGCGGTGGAGTTCAAATGTCCCCTCACAGAAGAGCATCATCAGCACCGCAACCGTCAGCGTGAGACTGTCGGGGCCGTCGGGGCTATGAGCGTCGGCACTCACGCAACAAAGGAAATCTCTCAATAGTAAATCATACGTCCTTTTATTTTTTTGTGATGTTTTCAAAATAGTTAAAACATAAGTTTAATTAGCAGTAAGAATGGGTGGTCACTGCAGGTGATGTTTTCTGCTGAGGTTTCCATCTGAATTGGAATGCTTCAGCTCGTCCAGGGAGTCTGCTGAGCATCGCGGAGAGTCGTCCCCACAATCCTCTCCCCCCAAGGCTGGCATTATCTTCATGCTGTCCGACAGCTTCCTGGACACTTGGGCAAACTCCTTGTTCGTTTGCACAATTCGTTCCAATTTTGAAATCAACTCGTAGTCGGGTACGACGGTTTTGGACCAGTCGATTCCTAAAATGCGTCCCACCATGTTTCGCAGATTCAGAAGCTGCAAAAAAATGTAAGGCATAATTTATTATTATTATTTTTTAATATGCATCTTAACTTTTACCTGAGCCTCCCTTCGTGATGCATCTAGTAAACCTTTTTTGGTGGAATTGAGCTCTTGGCTGAGTTGTTGGAATGCGTGATCTTGTAAGTCTCGTTCTTAGGGTCATAATAAGTTTAAAAACGTTAGTTAATATTAATAAGTATGAACATGTAAAATAAATGAGCAAGGATACCTTGGGCGGTATTGTCCCGACATGACTTGAGCTGATCCTTTATAAAATTTACTTTCCGGTTATATTTGCAGCGAAGTAGTTCCAAATCATTCACCTTTTGCTCCAATTCTTCATTCTTCCTGGCCCTCTCTAGAGCGATTATCTAGCAAAGGCACCATCATGAGCATTGATTTATTAATTATCAATATTAATAAGATGGACGTCATACTTGAAATTAATTAAACCACTACATAGTTTAGGTTAAAAGCAACCTACTTTGTACTCTGTTGCATCAGCTAATTGTCCCTTCATTTCCTTTAGATTGATTCGTGCTTCTTTCAACTCTAATTCTATTCGCTCGATCTGTTTGATGTGCTTTCGGGCTCGAGAAAGAGCTTCGTCCCTCTCTGACAACGATGATTTCGTCATCATCAAATTTGAAAAATAAGACCAATTGTAAAATCCATATCGCTTTATAATTTAAACTTTTTATGCACATCGTTAATTAATTAAGCCTAACCCAATTCGAGAGTTGTCCGCATTTTGACGCTGTCCTCCAAAACCATTATCTTTTTCCTTAACATGTCCAAATGGAGGTCCTTCTTTTCCAACTGCTCTTTCAAAGTTCTGACTCGTCTCTGTAACTGGTACACGGAAGCTGTCTGTACAGAACGCGCAAATAGAAAATAAGCATTATATAATATTGTAAGCAAGCATCAAGACTTAAATGTACTGGTAATATCAACAAGTATTTAACTGGTAGATATCCTTTTTCTCACCTTGTCCGCTAGTCGATCACCTTCGAGTTTTGCTAATTGTTCGGCTCGGACAGTAACAGCGTCGGTTTGCAGGTCAAATCCAAGTTCTTTAGAGACCTCGTCGAGCCCCATGATGCCACCTAACTGCTCCAAGAACTGCATAAACTAGACATCACCAAAATATCACCAGTTATTTTATTATGCACGCATTTGCATAGAACGGATTAGTGAATGTAAATAAAGCATGAAGCACCCTGTTTTTGTCTTTACGAAGACCGTCATTGAGAATCTCTGTGGTGGTCAGTTGGCCCTCCGTGTCTTGAAGTCGTTTTGCTAAAATGACCCTTTCGCTTACAGCATCGTCCTGCCTCGACCTCGAGTCGCCGAGCTGTTTCTCCAACCTCTCCAGCGTCCCCTGCAGCCGCCCCACTTTCTCCCTCAATTGGTCATTTCCCTAATACAAACAAAAGCCATTCAACACATTGCCCAGCATAATATTTCAAAACTCCTCCGCCTCCTCCTTCATTCCGTATGGCGCATACATATTGTTTCTCCTTCAGTTCCAACATGAGATCTTTGATTCTTTCCCGAATTCCGACAGGGGTTGGCTCCACCATTCGAGACCCCGAGGACATTTGAATGGCAACGGACTCTTGGAAATTCTTCAACTCTTTTTCCGACTTTGTTGCTCTGTCCTCACTAATGAAGAGGCTTTCTATTTAGTAGAAAAGCATCAGGATCATGAGTTGGAGAATCCACAAACCCAATTTAAATAGTTACATATTTAAAAGTTACCCTTGAGCGTGTTCACTTGTTGCTCCAAATTTCTCGCCTGATCATTCATGCTGGTGATTGTTCGACTCACAATTCCTGCTTTCTCCTTGTACCCATTCAGTTCTGTGGTGAGATACGATTTCTCCGTGACGAGTTGATCTCTTTCCTGTCATTCATCATTACACTTTATTAGATAAATTTCCGTGTATGTTGCACATGGAATCATTATTTTATCTTGTGTAGCTCAGCTTCTTACCCGTTTTGTGAGATCAATGGTGGTCAAGCAGGAAACTATCTGCTGATTCAGGTTGTCCTTCTCATTGTTGAGACGCTGAATGAACTCACTGTTTGCTTTGGACTCGTTTCCACTCGTTTCCAAAGTCTGCTTCAAGTTTGCAACGTTCATCTTGTATCTTGCATTCTCCTGCAGATAAGGTCGTTCAAAATTCAGGCCCAAAACCAGGTACCCATAATCCGTTAGTTGGAAATATACACGTACCTGGTATATTTCGTACACCCTTTTCAGCAGGGGCTCAACCTTGGGAGGATCGTCATGAAAGTCAATTGCAGACGAAATTTTTCTACAAAACTCAACTAAACTCCTCTGCGCACTTTCTTTTGACTGCTCAGATGCCTCTCGATCAATTAATAGCGATCTGCAGTGATAAATTAAACTGTATTTGTGTCCAATGTCACGCAATTTTAGTCTAAAAGTTTTAATTATTTGTATGCGTGCAGTATTGATGCGGATATGTACAAATACCTTAACTGACTCTCCAACTCCACAATTCTCTCCTGATAATGCTGACTCTCGTGTCTGAATTTCTGAACGTCTGATTCAACTCTTGAGATGGTGCTGAGTTGATTTCGTTCTCGATCCTCTGCATCCTGACGTGTGAATTACATGCAGAGAGTGAGACATATCTATATAAGATCATCAAGTTATTTTTAAAATACTACCTGCAACTTCTTTTGCAGGGAATTATTGATGGCAGTAAGTCTCGCAAGGTTCTCTCTCACGTCTTCATTCGCGTTCGTCTGGAGGATTATGGATTGCTCTTTGTTCTTTAAACGGTCGTCGTATTCCCTCAACTGTAGAGAAATCAGTGAAAATGCATAATGAAAGTATTTTGCATGCATAGCTCGCTCGCTGGGCCTCACCTCATTTTTGAGACGCTCGTTTTTATACTTCAACGCAGCAATTTCACTCTGAAGGCGAGTTTCTGTCGGAATCTCGTCATGGTCCATTTCGAAAAAGAGTGGAATAGTTGAACAAACCAGGACACTTTTTTAGCATTCCACACACTCAAGTTTTCTTTCAATTTCACTTGGGAAACACCACACTTATCTCATTTTGAAGCAAGTGAAAGTCTATAGCACATGAAAAGGTGAAATTGCATGCGAGGAGACATTGCATTAAGTTCGCTGTTGTCAGCAATGGCGATTGAGGGAAAGAAAGCAAGGAAATGTTGTCCTTTTTCTCCACTGGTATCGACTCAACTACCGTCCGTGACAGATCTTGGTGGTACGGTCGCATTTCTCTCCTCCTGCGTATATGCATGTGTACATATGTATATGTATGTACATACATAAGCACTTATTTAGTTCTACCCACCTTCTTGGAAGGACACCTTTTACCGAGATTTTCACTACTTAATTATGCAACGCATGCATAATATGAATGTATGTATCACAGATTCTGTATAATAAGGTAGGTATTTAGGTATATATGATGCTCAAAATTGGCTGAGAACTTCTGAGTCTGCATGACATGCAGATACGAATTTACGAATGCCAATAAGTGGTGGGCGAGGTATAAAGAGGAGAACATGCAGATATACTTGATTAATTTTGGAAGAAAGTATAGTTGAGATACCACGGATCTTAAATCTTCATCCATTGCAAACAATTTATGCGAACAATCACCACATAAATGACAACAACCATAAAAATTTTACGATAAATTATAAATGCGTAAATATGTCAACGGGTAAGTTATTTTGGGGGTTTAAAATTTACTCTCAGGCATCATTTACTCGTAGAGTTAATAATTTACTTTGTACAAAATGCGTGAAAACTTGAAAAAAACACGCGACTTTCACTATTTGGAGAGCGACATTGTTTGATCCATAAATTAATGTCAGTATATGAGTAATGAGTGTACAGTATAGTACTTCACGTTAATTCTTGCTTTGCTACGAGATGCTTTAATTTTTCGCTTGTCGTAATGATGTGACTTTAGAATTATTGTCGAAACAATATATTGAGCTGATTCGAGTTAGATAAAGGCGCTGAATTTGACAAAGGTTGCGACGGTGCATTAAATAATAAGTTGATCAAAGATAATTGGGAATACTTAACATTTGTAGACCAAAATGTTATGCTCGCAAACGCTTATTGCAGAGTCGATCTCATGCATCATCAGCTTCATTCTTTATAAACAGAATGTAATAACTGCCTATGACGCAAGAATTTACGTTACGTTACGTTAAAGACATAAATTAAAATTAATATAATGATTGTTTGAATAACATCTACCACTACCTACTTTTAAAGCTCTGGTGTGCATAATCTGAACACTTACGCAAGTTCAGAAAGAGAAGCATAAAATTATAATTCGAGGCCATATTGTACATTTTCTCACCACTACAACTCAGGTACACTAAGTTCATTGCACGGGCACGTTAATTAATGATTTGTATAGTAATAGTAAATATATTGGGGATATTTTTATATAGCAATATTTCGTTCAGACGATAGAACAATCGCGAGGTGCGGCAGATCCTGCACCTTCTTCTTCATCGTCCTCACTAGACGAGTCTGATTCCGATTCTTGACCTTGCGTCCTCTGAAAAAAATATATCAAATTAAAATAAACCAATCTCACACGTCTAGGATTGGTTGAATGACGGATCAAAATTAATTTTATACTCTATTTCGCCTCTGTTCACGATGAAGATGGTGAATAAGTTGCCACATAATTTGACCATCTAGTGCATTAGGCCGTGCGTCCATCTCCTCGTCTCTTTTTTTAATGTTCTTCTTTACCGTGGAAGCAAGTTCCCCCATTTTCGGAGGATTTTCATTGGAAGGAATCCAAATCTTGATGTCATCATCAAGGCCACTCGTTGCCAAAATTGGTGCAGTTGGATGAGGCTCCAGACAATTTACCTGAAAGTTATACATACACAGACTATTTATACTGTTTAAAAATACAATATAATAATGCAATCTTAATTATCGTACCACTCCTTTTTCATCTCCACGTAGAAAATTTACAATACTTTCAGTTTCTTTATCCCAAATAAAAACGTGAGAGCAGTCCGAACCCGACACAATAAACTGGCTCTTATCTCCAAAAAAGTTTACCCCTTTCACTACAAAGTATTATTATTAACGTTATTAAACATGATACACATAAACCTATTTGTATAAAGCATAAAGTACTGATGGGCAGGAATGTTACCTGTAGCGCTGTTGAGGTGACCTTCGTACACCTTAACGTAATCTGCAAAGTCAGAATGCGAAGCATCAAAAAGATAAATATTCTCATCGTTGTAAGAGGCAACTATTTCTGATCCGCTATAATTGTAGACTGCAGCCGTTATATGAGGTTTCGATTTATGTCCTTGGAGATGATGAGGACAAAAGCGTTTCAGAGGGTTGGTGGAGCTATTTGCAGATGATGATGATGATGCTCCTCCACCACTGTCACCTCCAGCTCGTGAGTTCTCATTATTATTGGCACTTGGAATTTCTGAGCGAGATAATTTCCTCGAGTCATATATCCGGACATACTCGTCACGGCCAGAAATGCAAAATTCATGCGACACGAGTGGGTTGGAGTGAATGCTGTAAAGCGAAAGTTTCCTACCATTTTCTACAAGACTTAAAATTCTGAAAAAGCACAGACACAATAATTGTTGAAAATATGTTCACACTTAATATTTAACCCATTATACTTAATTATTAAATTAATTACTTTTGTGATTTGTCTTCACGAATATCACAGCTGTAGACAACGCCATCTTCACCACATGAAAGGACAACGTGTGGCGTGCCAGGATGAATTGCTAGTTTGTGTACTGGCCCACGATGTTGAGAAATTTTCCTTGACGAGACGACAGAACCGGTGCAATCTAACTCAGTCAGACGAACTTGACTATCTCGGGCACACGAAACGATAATATTGTCAGTGCCCACCAAGGGCATGAACTTGGCCTGATAAAGATTAAGCACTTATGTAAGTATTGTTAGACTCGATAAAATTATAAAAGTTGAAATAGAAAACCTGGAAAACATTGGATCTGTGTTTCGAGTTGAAAGAAGTAAGTAGTTTCCCCAGCCCATAATTCCATATTTTAATTTCCAAGTCGTCGGATCCACTTGCAAGCTTGGTGCCCGCATAGTTGAAGTTTAGACAGTTGACACAACCATCATGACCATCTAATTTTGACATTAGCTCCAATCGTTCAGCGGAAAATAGAGATCCGTAAAATTTGGAACGAAAGACTTGAGCAGATTGAGCCTGAATCCTTGTTCGAAAACCCATCTCACGATTGAACACCTCCCTTGGCGCATTCCATGTACACTTTGGTTTCGGTTTCAATAAAACCTTTGGAAGTGGCTGATTCTTTTTCTTATCCTTCTGATTTGACTGTTGTTGCATTTTTGCAGGGTTCTCAGGTAATTGTTCCGAACGGGAATTACTGTTACAGGTTGTAGTTGCAACTGCTATATAATGTTGAAAGTAATAATATTATTAACTAATAGTCGATTTATGGTTAGCTGAGTTATTGACTTACGTATATCCTGTAAATCTTCTAAACTGTCATCAGAAGACTCGGATGAATCATCATCCTCCTCCAACTCATCTTCATCTTGCATAAAATCTAATGACGATGATAATGATGAGCTCATGTTGGAGTCTTCTAGTTCGACCCCACCAGGATAAAATGCTAGTCTTGGTTCCCCAGGATCAAAATTGGAGTCATCAGATGACAGAAAACCTGATCCACCAAGGTAGCAATGTGATTTTTAACTATTACAAAAACTCAAAATCAAACCTCGTAAATACTAACCAGGCATATTAGGTAGTGGGGATGGAGAATTTTCTAACATAGGCATATCAGCATAGGTTGTGCTGTCACGAGACATGTCTTCATCCTCTGGTGGAGCTACGCTTGGGTCACATTTCTGCTCAACTGGCATTGTCGACATCTCCCCGGAACTTGTTCCAGAGAGCTGGGTATCCGGAAAATCAAGCCTGGAGCTTGTACACTTGGGTTCTTGGTCGTCGTCGTCGCTAATAGATGAGCCATCGATTCCGGTGGTTTGACGGTAATTACGTTTCTTTGAGTTGCTTCTCGGCCTCCGTATTGACTCGAGACTCGCACTGCCTTGTGACACATTGTCACCGTCATTGTTTTGATCTTGACATGGCTCCTTCAAAGAGTTCTCTTCGTTGTTTGGACATGACTCTTCACTCACCGATGGCATCGCTACATTCTTAATACTGGCGACTTCCGAAGGTGGTGAAAGTTCCTCACCTGGTTCCTCCGCAGCTTCCTGCATAGTGCGATGTTGATGAGGCGCAGTATCAACTGTTTATCTTGTTAGTAAGTAAAAGTTAAATTAGCATTAATCTTGCTATTTTCAATGACAAATGCTGATATATTTAATTGAAGTTTGAATGATTAATTTGTAATTTCCTATGTATAAACTCTCACCCAGTAGCAAAAAGTAGCCAACCAACCTAAATCAACCTCTACAGAAGTAAAACCAATTTAAACCATGAATTTAGTAGATCTTCTACTTTTAAATTGAATTAAATTGCAAGTTGCAACTCTGGTGACTGCGGGCTGTTGATGATTCCAGGTTTATTTTTATTATTGTTTTGTCCAAGTTCTTCATCAGCAGAGAAATGAGAAAAACAAGTGAGAGTAAAAGTGAGCATGTGTTCTGTACGTAGCTTTTGGATATGCTTAGCTATGTGAAGATGGCTATAATGCGTTTTATGCTTATGCTGCAATGCACAATATATTTTTACATCTTCTGCACTCTGAATTTCTGCAAATATGCAAATGAAACCAGCATCTTGCATTATCATTGTTTTTATTTTATTTTTACCAGTATGAATTTTAACCAGTAGTACTAAACTTAAAAGTGAATTGTGTACTGGAAGCTTACAATTTATGGAAATTACATAAAACGCCAAACCTCAGTTAATTACATAGAAATTAGCTGAGATTCTGCCAATGCTAAAAAATGAAATTCCAGCCTGTAAATTGTGAGATGCTCTTACAAAATAGTAAGAACAAAAGTATTGATTAGCTAATGATTAATTAGCCCTTCAAAAACAAGTTCATAATCGTATAATCCTTGCACATATGTATTTAAATTTAATCAGAATTGTCTCATGGGTGAAAGACCTGAGTTATCAAGTTATCATCATCAATCGTGCAGCTTTATATATTCTATGTATGTATGGAGAAAGCTACTGAATTGTCTTATGGAATATAAAAATATTGCTGTAAATTATTTTCATAATCAAAATTGCAATGAACATTCTATTTAGCATAGTAATTTTTAAGTACTAATCAGTTTGGTTAGAGGAATACTGTCAATTTGAACGAGTTGTTATTTACGGTTCTGAGGCAGATGGATTAGCTTGTCTTCTCTACCAAGAAAGAGAGGTCGGATAAATGGGGACAAGTTATCTTAATTAATAGATTTTCGGCTAAATATGACGACCACAAGAATATGTAGCAGTCAGTCAGCGTGGAAGATCACGAGTTGCATATAAATCTACTTATTCAATATGTACACGGAAAAACTACATGCAATTTTGACGACAAACAAATTCGTATTTTGAAGCGCATCACGTGGGAACTGGTTCTTGAAGATTTCTTTCATACTTTTGCGTACAAGAATATTTTAGAAATGAGTTCTGGTTTCAGACTTGGTACTGTCATCGTATTTATGTATATATATATATATATGTATGGGTAGTAGTTACATATTTTGGTGGACCACGTTTTACGATTTGTAATGCAGAATAATTCAGTCCGTGTCATGAAGATGACTTGTCCCGTTGCCATTGAGGTAGGGAGACACTGGAGGCGTGGGGATTTCTTCTGGTAGAAACATTTGCGCACCAACTCCTTCCTCCCCACCAATCTGCAATCGAAGAGAAATTTGTGAAAAGTAATACCAAAACATTCTCAAAGAATACCAAGAACAAAACAATAACGCATGAAAATGAAAGCAAAGACGACGCCGATTCTAATAAATGATCTAGAATGAAAGTGTGGTTTTATTTGCAAGAATTTTTTTTAACAGAAATGATGAGTGAATAAATAGGAAAATAGACAAATACATGAAAATTTCATAGCAATTTTTTAGCTTTATTAGTGGCGTGTCACTCTAATGTTCAAGCTCAGCTTAAAAAAGCGTGCATCGCTGGTACTTTCACCATCAGCTTAACCCATCAAGTGGTCTACACACAGAAGATGGTGACAGAAAATTAGAAATTGCATAGTGTGACGTAAGGTGAGTATTGTAAGTCTAAAAATTGTTATAAAAGGAATATACAAAAAAATTATACTCACCAATGTCATGAGATGCTTGCTGGTCGGGGTGCTTGTTGAGTTATGTCTCGGCTTTCGCTTGCTCACGTGACGTTCCACCCACTTCAACATCATGAGAACAGAATCAGTGCTTGAAAAGTTAAAAATTATATTATCAAAAAATAACCCACTTGATTTTTGAGGTATTACATACACGTGTATCGACATTACACAATGCAAAGACAAATGCACAAGTATATCTAACCTTGGGAGGCGTCGGTCGGCCAAGGTTCTCACAGAATGCGACGGAGTCACTCTGAATGTGACTGCCATCCCCTTTAATGCCTGTACAGAATAATTACGTGTGGTAATTAGACAATCGATAAAAATGCCTCGTTGTTTTAATGCCTACTTGAATTGCGTCTTCATCAGTGGCATCATCTCCGGCGTAAACAATCCTGACCCGCTCGTGCCAGTCCACACCAAAGGCTGTTCTCAAGATGTAAACGGAAGCACGGCCCTTAAAAAATTGAGATTAAATGTTGTCGTTAGTCTCAATATTGACCTAGGACATTCACACAACACATCGTATGTACATGTACCTTGTTCCAGAGGACTGGTGGTTTCGCCTCCACGATGCAATGGCCCTTGGCCACTACGAAATCATTCCTAACCATCAGCTCGCTCGCTCTGCTAATCATTGGTGGTCTCAAATTCAGAGGTGTGTCACGATAATGGTAAGTCAGCACGGCCCCTTTGTTCTCCACCCAAGCCCCGTCGTGACATAACTGGAATTACAAGAAGACATATCAAAATAACTAAGTTTTGTTTCATACAAATAAGAATCTTAAAATGAATGCGTACTTCTTCCTGCAGTTCTTTGAGTAGAGTGCTCACTTTCTCCTCATATGCGACGGGCATGGGATGGACGAACTTGGTTCCATCAGGATGCACAATTTCCAAGCCCTGATGTTAGCCAAGTTTGCATATGTATTAGTTAACTTGTATCTTTTTGCATGTGTAATATGCTACAAACAATAGTCCTGTTTAACGCACATGATTCCCAGCATAAGTGACATTCGGAATGCCCACCATTTTCTTTACATTTTCTACATTTCTGCCCGACACGATTGCAATGTAGACATCCGACATGCTGCTTAGCCGTTCCAAAACCTAAACGCAAAACATTAGCAAGGAAAATTACGCTGAAAATTTGTGAAGCTCTTCCGCACCTTTTTGGTTTCGGTGGGTATTGTGGCCAAATCTGGATGGGGTGCAATCGGAGCGAGAGTTCCGTCATAATCCAGCAGCAAAGCCAGCTTGAAATTAGTTCCAACGTATTTGGCAAGAATTTCCTCAAAGTCGTCCATCTAGAGATTGTCCATAAACTATGAAATTAGTTAACTTAGCCAGCAGGATAACGTATTTTTAGACCTACAGTCAAGGGTGTCATTGTTGTAGGAAGAACTTCATCGCCATCTTCTACAGTCAAACTTCCCATTTCCTGAAAAAAATAATATCCAAAATCATGAAATGTGCATTGTTGATTATGCATTGCATTTTGAACTCTCTGAAGAGGGAAAGAAGTGGTGTGGACCACCTTTAGGAATGATCTCATCCAGTGATTCACATCATATGTCTTTTCTCGTTTTCGCAAATAGGACATTCGAACTTCTCGTTCATCCAGTGGCATTGACAGTGCCCTGTGCAGAACTTCCGCAGCGTCGTCCAGCTCATAAGGATTTACTAAGAGACTCTCATGCATCATTTCCCCTGCGTAAATTAAAACAGTCAGCGGACGCCACCACCACTAGTACTAATTATTAGTATTAAGGTAGGTAGGTAGGTTTTATTCAAAGATTGATGTAGCGTTAGCTTTTACAATCATACTCATTCATTCGTTTCATACAAAATTATTAGTATTAATTTATAACCTGCTCCAGCAAACGGAGACAAAATCAGTACTCCAGGCTCCTTAATCTGGCATGCCACAAACTCCTTGGCCTGTATTTAGATGAATATGTAGGTATAACAATGGAATCGTGAAGTGTCAAACTTTGAATGCTAGTGAATAGCAATCAGTTTGATGAATGTCAACTCAAAGCTTGCATACCACAAGGTTCATTCCGTCCCTCAAAGGTGTGACCAGCGCTACGGCGGCATCTCTGTAAAAAATGTACATCATTGCAACTACGTAAACAAGTATAGATAGGTTATGATTCCACCTGTAAAAGGCTGCGAGTTCATCTTGGCCAACACATCCGTATATGTATCGAATAGGACTCCAATTAGGAGTTGTGAACCTCCCATTTATCCGACCCACGAGTTGGTCCAGTTCTTCCTTAAGATCCTGATACTCCTTGACATCCGTCCGCGAGGGCACAGCAATTTGAAGGAAAGCAACCTTAAAATATTAGCAGTACTTTAAATTAATTTAAATTCTTAGTTGGGTTTAAATTATTTGGAATGTTTTGAACCTTTTCCTTATAGTCGGGATATTTTTCCAACAGACGCTCATACGCCTTAAGTCTGTGAACCAGACCTTTCGTGTAGTCCAGTCGATCCACTCCTAAAATAAGTTTCTGATTGCTGCATGACACCATTTGCGGGGCCTCTTCAGCCATTTTCACGAAACGGTCAAACGGGATTCCGATGGGAAGAGGGCGAACACGAACGGTTCTTCCCCCGACTTCCACCAACATCGAGCTCCGATCCACCCGACAGCCCAGCCTTCTCTGGCAACAGTCAATAAAGTTGAGGCAGTAATCCACAATGTGGAAGCCGATCATGTCACAGCCCAGCATTCCTTGAAGCACTTCGTCATCTCTGGGAAACAGGCGGAAAATGTCCCACGAAGGGAACGGGATATGGAGAAAGAATCCCAGTTTACATTTCAGCCCTTCTTCGTCTGCCTTCTGACGAATCGTGTTCGCCACGGTCATCAAATGATAGTCTAGATTTTGTTAGGTTAGATTTCTTCCTACAGAAATAATCATAATGAATATTCCGTGAAATTCCACGGAACATACCGTGAATCCAAACGAGAGGTGGTGGAGCGTCGGGGGACATGTTTTCATTCGCTGTGCGCAAAGCATCCAATGTTTTCTCAGCAAAAACTGCGTTGGCTGTGACATACGCCTGCACATGAAATATTTCAGGAAATGATCAACAAGAAAGCATTGGGAAATTGTGAAATAGCATTGAAAAATTAGAATGGTCCAGAAGATTACTAATTTGTTAGCTATATATGTACAGACCTCCCAGCTATCGGCGCTAAACACAGCTCGATCGCTCATTGAATGGAAAAGTGGCCAAAATGTCCCATTGCCTAAGAAAAACATGTATCATACTGTATTACAATGTCAATGTCAACTAGAGAAAAATGTGGAGGGTATATTACAGCATCCATTGTAGTACGAGTTGAACGTGGTTTGATCAAGGAGCACTGGAACAATCTGTAAAAGAGAAAAAGAGGTGAAGGCCAAATAAAACTGTCACGTTACACAATTCGTCCGTGAACTTTATCTACCCTTAAACATCGACGGATCGCATAGATATTGACCTTGGTTGTCAAACTGCATACACGTTATTCAATGTATTTAATACCTGTTTGGACTTTAATCCGGCAGTTGGGGTCTTATCAGTAGGATCAGATTCTGGGATGGGATCAACATCCAGTTTTCCATGGTCCTCAGGATACACGCCTGGCCATCCGACCCACATCCCACTGCATTGCACCACCACCGGTGCCACTGCTGTGACCAGGCCACCGGCACTGCAAAATAAAGGTCATCCATTATCAGAAATCAGTGCATAATCAGCGCATTTATTTCCCAGACATGCAATGTCAGTCAGTCATAAAGAGACTAATGCAACTCGATTTATTCGAGAGACAATGAGTCAGTTTTGCATGCATATTTAGTTTATATAGCAAATTGACTCGGAGAAAATGCTTCGCGAAAAGTCGGTATCAGTCACCGGCAGAGAAGACGAAGGAGCGTTGTTGTATGTGCCAAGTTTTAAAGCATGCTAATGCCCACAAAGAGACCACTAAAGGATCATGCTCTTGGTGAATGATCGGATCATGTTGTTGACTTGCTTGTCCTAAAAAATTGCATGCCATAACGATCCATTGTGGGAACAAATGCTATTTAATTTAAGCCAAACTATGTGATGTAACCGATCCGTCAGTAGTCACGTATGTGGTTAGAAAATCAAGAAGTTTGTTTTTATTTCTCCTTATCACACGCATGAAAGTCCAAAACCGGGATGTTATGGTCGGAAAATTTCCATGCATATAGTGGTATCTGTTTATAATATGCTGCATTCTCAATTATCGGAACCCAGTTTCAAGTGACACCCCTTCCAAGCAGTTGAACAGGCCAATTATGCATAACGAAAATAATGTTATCTATTTACATTCGAAATAGAAAGGCCACATACCAAACTAAATGAGGGTAATTTTCCACTACCACTACCGCTGCATTCACCACTAATCATGCATATTTACATACATATATACATACATAATACACGCCTATATATTACACACTCACAACTTTTATGTCAAGCTGGAGGGTCAACAAAACTAAAACATTACGAAGCTGTCAACCCTTCGCTACTACGAGTTGACCAATACCGAGATACGTGCAGATGTTCCCAACCTGAATAATGTTCGTATGCATGCACATACAAATCGAATGAATATTTTTATTATTGTGCTGAAGGTTTCATGGGAATTGGGTTAAGTTGTTTTGAATTCTCAAGTAGTGATGGGACAGATAATTCTAATGCCCAATACCAACCACACTAATTTGACACTTATTGAGACTGGAAATAATCTCAAATTGGTTGCCGGACTTGAATGAATGTGAATATTCACAGGCACTGTTACTTTACAGGAACGCATATAAATTATACATTTGAGTGTGGAGTATGTGATGATGATGAATGTTCGGAAAAACAGCTCAATTGTTAACAAACGACGTTATTACCACCTACTTGTGTAGCTATGAATATTACATGTTCGTAACGCACACATGCAGTTTGGATTAATTGGATCTTATGAATTGAATATCGTTACCCATTATGCTTGTGTTTAGGACAGGAATGATTTAATGTCTCATATTTTATTCGTTGCAACCGAAGTAGAATGTAAGGGGACAAATTGGTGAAGGAGGCAGACCTATGTATTTTTGGTTTTCTTTATTGCTGTCTCTAACTTCCTTTACATTTGTCAAATGTCAACCTTCATTTACTCGAGCCTCCTCTAATCCTAAGCTCATTGCCTCAATATGATTACTATTTCCACGTCATACTACTTACTACTACCGGCCATACCATACCTACGCATGGGACAGGAGAAATATGAACCTTTGAAAACCATAGAACTAATCCAATTAACGTATTTCCATTCACGGTTGGCTATTATTTGCAAATACTTAATAGTAATTAACTAATGGTGGTAAATTATCTGATCTGCTCGATTGATATTATTGTATCCTGCGTGGGCCAGAGAGATGTCAAAAGGTCACATGATACTTACAACGCTAAGAAAACAAGTGTGTCACAATACGAAACATTGACACCCAGCTCGTCTTGAACTTATGACAAGGTCAAGTAATTACATACTCAAGGAGACGAGGACACATGTCCATGTGGTGACATTGGATCGGACTTGTTAAATTATTCACCAATAATTCTCCCTTCGTACATAGTAAATGTAAGCATGAAACGTGTGAGTGAAATGTGAGACTAAGAATATTCAGAGTTTGTCGTAACATTAAAGTATTGATAAAAGAGAAGCTTACCTAGATTTCCGTTCGAATGTTTCCGTGTCCTCATTGTACTTCAAGATGAATGGAAGCCGGTTGGACACCACGATCAGAGCGCCGTTGGGAGCGAAGTTCATGATGATATCGTATCAAAAGTGGTTCGATATTATTCAGCGAACGTCTCACTTTCCTCAATATTTCGCAGCCGTTATTTAGAACTGGAGCAAGTGAAATGAACTGTTGTTGTTTGTTGAGCCACGTCTACATTAATAAGTCGATGGTGTGAATAAACCGTGAAGATAAGTGCGAGTACAGCGTGCATGGAAGATAAGCTGATTCCACGGCCAGTGTGGAACAACGACTGACTGATCATAGACTGATCTCTGATTTGCTTTCACAGATGCGTCGTAGCAGTACAAGTAAATAACGTGTAGAGCAAATGGAGTTTGTAGCATGCAATTAATCGTCGAGTTGTTCGGTGTTCGGTTGCCCTCTTCTTTCTATAAGAACTTGTACACTAGATTGACTAGATCCATGACAAAAAAGTCTCAATTTTGCAGCACGGTCTCACTCATCCTGCTGAGCTTGTTGTTGTTGAGACATTTCGTAGGAAAACATAAAAACATATGTACATATGTTATGTAATATTGTCCAATCTCAAATCTCACGCAGGAGTCGTGCTCGTGCAAACGCAAATTATTCTCCTGGGAATGATTCTTGCACAAATATGCATACTACAAACTTTCTTGGTTTTCTTTTCCCATCGGAGAAGGTAAATCGGACACGTTTTACATATGTGCATACACCACCCACGTGAATGGCTGATTACTGATTTTACATATTATATTATATATGCCTTGCAACAGTTGGTTGTATGTTTTCTGGAATGTTTTGTATATGCAATTAATTTAGTTATGTTAACCTGTTAGGAGGAAATTGAGACTTTAAACTCAGGAGATGATTGTGATTAAATAGTGCTGACTGTTCCACTTCCCAAAGTAACACGGGCACTCAAATAATAAAAGTTTTGCAGTTACTGCGTGTTACTAGCTGGAATCGTATTCGTCAACGGACCGGTATCAACGAAAACACTAACAATAACAACGTTATTAAACTGTGTAGATTCTCGAATTCCGGTTTTACCCAATGAATGGCTTGGGAATTGCAGAGTTTAAGGAGACGTGCGACCTTCATTTCACTTTGTCGGAGAAATTCGGGCAGTGGGTAAATATCCACTTTATTCGGGTAATGTCGTGTGCTGCATGGAAAAAACGCTGAACCGTACAAATTGGTCAAATCATTTGACTCAAATGTTGGATCAGCTTAAGAACGAGATGTGAAGCAATTATTAGCAAACATTTTTTGCTGCTTTGACCAGTAGACAATTTATTTATTCACCATTACTTATTTTTATAGCGATAACAATAATAATAAAAATACTATTATGCCCTTTAAGCAAACCAAATGACTGTAAATTGTATAGCATGGAACAACTAAGTTTTCAATTGGCATTATGATAAAAAAGAACACAGAATTACCGGTAACTAATTATGTAATATAAATAATTAAGTAATTACTCGGATCGGAATTTTGTTAAGAAGTTGTTATATAAACGTAGTCGAAGCTCATAGGAATTAAGGTCCTATGGTTGGACCTTATTGAATGATTCAGATAGGAAATGTAGAATAGCACACAAGTCAATGTTAGATATATTACACGATTGGCAAAAAAATCAATCAGAATAATGGTCTATCAATGCTCATTTGGAAAATTGAAATTTCCTGACGCAGCATGAACACATGCGCACTATCGACATTATTACTAACGTAGATATGAATTATCATTAAGTAGACAAATTGGTTATTTGATATACAAGGAAGTTTGCTATAATTTCGAAGGCACAACATACACACTATTTAGGATTAGTGTAACTTCATTGCAGCTAGTAAACCCAGATATATGTACTGTGAAGGTAAATGGGTATATTAACTCAACAAAGGCAGACAATAATAATAAAAATAATAATAGTAATAATACTCGGCACTTTTATAGATTTTTATGTATGACCTACATAAAAAATGCCTGCAAATGCAGTCTGTCTCAACTTGTAATTTATAGGCATATATTATTTATACATGCGTATGTATATACTCGGGATTTGATAAAGTTATTGAATGATTGGATCGCTATTTTCTTCGGAATGGGCAGCGTATGTGATACTAAAAGACTGGCACAATGCACATCAGTAAAGATCGTCATCATCATCAACACTGCCGTCAGCATATACGACTTCTTCCGTTGGTAGTGGAAGTTTCGAGTTTCGGATCATGATATTATGTCCAACTTCGCACATTGCTTCGTATGCCTGATGAAATATAAGAAATATTCAATATGTTATCCATTAAGTCAACCAGCAGCATTAAAAATTGTTGAACAAATGAAACAACTAATAAAGATAAACATACATGATCCAAGATTTCCTTTGTGTGGGAGGAACTTATGCAAAATCTCGTCCTTCCTTCAACTAATAAAGTAGCAGGAAACCCAACTCCAACCGTTGCAACACCTCGTTTTATCATTTCTCGAACAGTGTATCCAATTTTTGAAGGCATGTACAGAGCAGTCGGAACAACCGGAGAGTCGTCATTCCCATAAACAATGAATCCAGCTTTCTTCAACCTCATGCGGAAATAGCGAGCATTACGGCGAAGCTGGCGAATTCTCTTGATTCCCTCCTTGGTTCCATCCATGCCCATAATGATTCTCATGGAAGATATAATTTGTTGAGCTATTGGAGGTGACATGGCCGTTGCGTAACAATGTGCATGGCTGTGTCTTCGGATCATCCCAATCAGTTCCTTTGAACCGGCAATGTAACCACCAGCAGATCCAAAACTTTTTGTAAATGTTCCCATCAAAATATCAACATCGCTTGGATCACAACCCCAGTAGTCTACGACACCCCTTCCACGTGGACCCATGGCTCCAACACTGTGAGCTTCATCCAGGTAAATGTAAACCTGCAATATCAAGAAACTATATAGAAATCTAGAGATAAATATGTGGGTCCAAACATGAGCCATAAATTACCCCATATTTCTTTTTCAGTTCAATCATTTCTGGAAGTCGGGCAATGGAACCCTCCATGCTGTACACTCCTTCAACTACGATAAAAATTTTCTCCCAAGGCAAGTGAGTTCTAGGCTGACCCTGAATAATTGCTTCCTGCATGTGCATAATTCAATTAATGATTAAATGTCCCTTCAAACCAGACTTTTATATGTATGTGCAAAGTTGAACAAAGCTAATACTCAAAACTTACACGAATCCGTTTTTCGAGGCTCTTCATGTCTAAAATAAGGTTCAAAAAGTGAATGTTACTTAATCAATAATAAAAACAGTAATGTACCTTAATTAATTGTTCAATTCAATACAATTCATATCCAATATTGACTTACTATTGTGTTTAAACACGCGTATCGTAGCTCTAGATAAGCGAAGTCCTAAAATGATGGAGGCGTGATTTTTTGCATCACTAATGACTAAACAGCCCTGGTTCAAAATTGCAGGTAAGTTGAGTGTATTCGTGGCAAATCCCATGGCACAAGTAATGGCTGAAACATAAAAATTAGATTACATGATAAGCTTTAAAAACTACACTTGGTACGTTAGTAATATTTACATTGACATGTTGGAAATCAAAAGTGCCAATAATGCCTTTTTACTCACCATCTTCAGTCCCCACAAATGTTGCGACCAACTTATCCAACTCGTCGTGGAAGGTTGCATTCCCCATCTCACGTCTCGGACTGCAAGTGGCTACGCCAAACTCGTGCACCATTTTAATCGCTGCATCTGCACATGGTCCATGGTTTTCTGCAAATCCTAAATAATTATAGGAACCGAGGTTTGCACACGTGACAGATTTTCCTGTGTACCTGCCGTTACAAACCAAACCAGTTATTCATTTTGTACTGCTATAATAATCATGTCCAATCTCTAGTAAGAATAAATTACTCACTCGAAAGTCCATCCATAATCGTCAGACTGACGTTCCATGAGGGTGATATATTTGCCAGGAACGCTCGACACGGGCATGTTCCAACAGTCTCGAATTCTCCGGTAGACATGGCGAGTGTAGAAACTTTCAAAGGACGCATAAAGCGATACGTAACCCTTGAAATAAAAACATTACAAGTAATTAGATACAAATCATTTTACACTAATAATTTGCATTATCAGGTATTGTTAGTCGAAAAATAGAAATTGTATACCTCTCGATTTTTCTCCAGTGTTGTCCGTGGTCTAATAAAGTCGTTGACATAGCCAACAATGACGAGGACAGCGTAGCAAAGATACGTGCAAAATGCGTCCCATAAAGAAGCCTCTTCGAAGCTCTCTCCGGCGAATTTCCTTACTTTTTTCACCCCGTTTTCTTCAGTACCATTTTGACTCGTGATTGGTTTGTGGTCTATCGTTCTGCTAACAACTACTTTCTTTTCGTCTTGCACACTCAAGTCTTGGTCACTCCCATCGTCAATGGCACCAGCGGTGATGGCAGCAGAATCCCTTGACTTCTCGCCCTTTGCAGGGGCTTTGGAAGCGCTGGTTGTGAGATGCGTCATTTCGTCCGCCCTCCCCTGTGACTATTAACTCACTCGATGATAAGATGAGGTTATCTGTCAGACAAGGCACGGAATAATATAGTCTGACACACATAGAATTGAGGATGAGTAATCTGCCGAGCGAATGTTGAGTATAATGCGGTACAAATAAATACTCCGGTTGATTGAGGTGTGTTCCTTGAAGGTTTTGTTCACCCAGCGCCACACTAAAATCCACATCCGCCCCGGAGTTTATCTTTGTTCACAAGAAAAATGCATATGAAATGGATGCATTTTATGGAGATTTACATAACTGTGTACTAATTACATGATAACAAAATTGATGAAATCATGGCGGTTCGTGCTGGAGAGGTTTGTGAATTAACAACTTGTGGGTGTTGTTTTTTGAGTTCTTTGAGTTTGACAAAGTTAATGTCGCCTAATGTTTCTTTTCTCGTTTTGTGGCTTGGCGTAATGACCACAACGATTTCGGTATAAAAACTTTAATTAAATTAGTGCATGTTTTGTGTGTTTTTTTGTAAAAGAATATTTAAATTCGTGTCTTCAGGTTGGTCTCTTAGTTATATTTTATCGTCTCAATTGTCTTCCTTGTTGCAAAAGAGAATATCCTCCTCAAAGAACAGCGACAGTGACCAACAGTGAGCCAAATAACATTGGTGTGGATTCAAGGGTGATCTACAGTAAGGCCTGATATTTAAATATTTAATAACTGTATTTTATATTTTATGAATGTCTTTGTCTTTAATATGAATGTCTTTAAAAATAGATAGATTCGAAAAAAATATGTAAATGTGGTGAAAGTAATAAATAGATATCTACAAGGCAGATTTATTTGTAATTACAGGAACTGCCGAAGCCGATTTTCGTCAACATTTACACTTACAATCTGTTATCCTAAGTCCAGGGAGGAATCAGGCTAACGTAACAATTGTATAGTCAAGAAGAGGTCAGCAGGTATCGATTTGCATTTTCTTTTTAACTAACCAATATTAATTAGGTAATCTATTTAATTGCAAGTTCCAACTCAAAACTATATTCATATAATTATAACAAAGAATTTTGCATAATTCGTATTCATATATCATTATTCACTATTTTGTGACATTGCATTGGGCCTAATGCTAATACATATACTGATGGGATATATATATACTGGTAATCATACCGGTTTCCCTTACTAAATACATATACACTCTATTATATCATAACGGAAACCCATTTTTTGTTGTCGGGTATGAGTAAGGGTCCCCATTTGAATTTTTTGTCCAGGTACATTCGGCCTCTAATAACTTTAAACGGAAAGTATATTTCCATAACAGTTGGTTCTCCTCGTTGCAGGTTTCAGCAATTCCATTCAGCAAGTGAGCAAATAGCAAGTCAGACAGAAGGAAACTGTGCACATTGTTTGTACGTATTATACGAATTAAGATTTAAAATCACAAAAGAAAACTTCCTTGTATCTGAAGAACTGAAAATACTAATCAACATCAATACGGATAACAATCAGGTAAATATTCTACATACTCAATTTTACATAATCCTTGCGGCTTGTCTTGCGTCATTGTAAACTCCCCAAGCAACACGTACCTAAAGTATGTATGCATCGATAAAACTTTAATGCCTCTCCCCGACCCGGTGAATGAGTTGGCTGGCACAGACACGGGAACGAAAAGTGCAACAACTCACGAAGCCGGGTATTAAAGGTTTTAACTAGTTGTTAGCAAGTAGTGCATTTCTTGTTTGGTTTTCGGTAATTGACGCTTCGCGTGCCAGTCATTTCTCCACTGCATGAGTCATCCTTTTTATCAAGTAGAGGTTTTCCCAACCCACCAAAAAGATCAGACTTTCTCTCTCAAATAAGTCGTCTTACTGATTATGCTGAAAATTAAAATGTTTATGAGAAATCGAAACGTTTTTATTTTCTGGATGTGTACAAAATTTAGTTGTAAAAACTGCTGCATATAATAACCAGCAAAAAATAATAGTTTCATGTACCTTGGTTTTCGAGTCCAACACAGTGTATCGATCTATGCACATATATCCGGAAGTACACAGGCGTGCTGGAAACTTTAGGATCTCCTTTCTCCCCTCTCTCCCCAAATTACATGATCCACAGATTGTGTACCCACCGTTGTACTAGATAACGCTTTGAAACGGTAGTCTTGTACTAATTACGATCACACCAATTTCTTGCTAGCAATCATTCTGTTATGAACAAAGAATGCGATGTACATGCCAGAAGTGTCTGATTGTTGTTGGTAATAAGTTAGTCAGCTATAAAAGTTCCCATGCATCTGCCCATCTTGATTTATTGCATGCACCCTGCACTTTCTCCGGCAGTAAAAGTGCATACCCTCGACCCGACTCTTCTACCAGTCCAGAGAGATCCTATAACACACAAACTCCGAATCCTTAATCCGATCCGAAAGTGGTTGGTTCGGAAAGTTCATGTTGTCCTATTCCACCATATTCTCTCACCACCTGCCTCATCTCCTCGTCTCTTGTTCCATTCGAAAAGGGAGAGAAAGCAGTGTTTTTCCTCCAATTTGTCCATACTTCAACTCCTTTCACTCCTTCGATCTTTGAAATTTTTTATACTCTCGTCACCTTTCCTCTTCCAATTTTTAACCTTTCTCTACTATTTCAGTATTCTTATTACCCTTTTCTACACGTTTCTTACTCTACATAATACATACGTTTATATACATTCATCCTCGTGTACGCACATACCTAGAAGTATTCCTATCTCAAGAAATTACTTACTCATTTCGAATATTAAGAGGAGAGTGTGCAGATTTACACATTCGGAGATTGACAACCGCCTCAGTTTACTTGTAAGTTGCTTGACTAATGTCGGATTTTTCTTGCATATAATACTTCGTCTTGATTGTCGTGATTGGAAGAATGGCCGGAAGAAAGGTTTGGTAAAGAGATCAGAGGCAACGAGGAAATCGATTGTGGAGAAAGTGGATACCTACTTGCCAACGAAAGTCAAGTGACTACTGCATCAATTCCACATTAGTACATATCATTAGACAGAGTGCAGTGGTACTATGGTGAGGAGTCAGTCGTGATCTGGGTTAACAATAGGTATGAGAAATATCTTCTTAATGGTCCGTTTACTAACTGGTTTGTTTTAGGCAAGTTATTTACTTGTTTCGTTTGCTCAGCCAGGTTCAAATAAATTGAGCTAATAGAGATTAATCTTGCAACTAATTATTTCTGCACTAGACAAAAAAACGAGTCGATTACTTTTTTGACTCATTCATAACTTCAAATAGTAACCTAATTTTCTGTTGGTTGAATTTAGTGTAGAGAGATTGCACTTGCTTGTATTCTTAGTAAAGTCAGTAACTAATTCCTTCCCGAGTAATTATATTAAGTGATTATCGATTATGATTAAATTAAGTGCATCAAATAATGAGCATCGCAGAAAGAAAAAGAACATAGCCAAATAACATCAACGTCAATTAATTCAACGTCATGTCTGTTAAGCACAACGGCGAATTCTAATTCGAAAACATAGACGCAGACAATCTATGTATCTCCATGTATTTGTACTCGTAATAATGCGGATTTTTGCATACTCAGGAAGAAGGTATCCATACGTATTCCACATTTAGCAAAAAAGGCATAAAATTCGTGGCGTAAACACGAAGTATGACATGACTCACATGCAGAGTCCTTCCGGAGCGTTCTCATGTTTATCCTTCTCTCGTACAGTCGTACATTCGTTTAGCAGTGTATGTGGTGCAGATAGAGAGAGAGAGTGACTGGAGCCATATCCGTAATTTGCAAGCCATACAAATTCATGAGGAACCAAATGACCAAACCTCAAATAGTCTAATGTTCATTTAGTCTCATCCATCCATCCCCAATGCTGGCCCATCATATTTTAACAAGTTATTTACACACTCTCGTGTACTCTTAACTATCAGCCAACAGACAGACCAGACCTTAATTTATCATTCTGCATTACCAAGTTCTCTGCTCATTGGTTTTTTCTAGTAACAAGACTGCAGAATTGGCGAATAATAAATAAACACAGATCCATCAACTACTCAAAGTGAGGGAGGTAAGCATAAAACTATTTTTAAACGACTTGAAGCAGTTCACGTCAGTGTAGGAAAAATCAGACGAGCATCACTTTTGGGTAGGAATTTTCCCTGCGGCGGGGGTGGACATTGAACGAGCTGCTGCTGTTTTAGCACTTGTTGTAGCTCTGTATTGTCTCATTATAGGATAAAAAACATCCTTCGGTTTAATCCGCATTTGACTGTATCCTCTCTCTTTCCCCACCACTCCACTTTTTGCCATTTTCATGAGGAACGACGACGGCGTGAATTTAAGTAAACCATGGCATTGTTGAGGGGTATTAAACCATCCCCCAAAACTAAAAACTATGTATGTATGCTGTAGTGGGAGGAAAGCAATAAAGTGCTGCAGAGATATCTTTTGCCAGAGACAGAATAATTTGATACGATGATGATGGGAAAAGAGCGACGCGATTCAGAATTAGCAGTGGAAGGAAGCAGCAGTAGTTCATTTTTTTCTTGGTCTTTTCAGCTAATGAGACTGGTATGTGGTGCCCAGTGTAGCGTGGTGTACTACAAAAGCGATGCATTTTACAGTGCTGCTGACTGTTGTTGGCTGAGTCAGAGTTGAACAATTTGAGATTCATCATCTGAGAAAAAATTTCCGTTTTGCACATCCGAGTAACTCGGTTCATCTTCTTGGGCTTGAGATTTCATCCATTTGCTTGTTGCTGCGGCTGTTGAATTTACATTCGCTATTTTCTTTCTGCCGGCTCACTCACACCGCAAAACTACGCTGTATTGATCGAGGTGTTATTTTGGTTGACCAACGGAGCCAATTTTTGCGCAACTTTTCTCTCGTAAAAGTCGTAAACTTGGCATCAATTATTTACAAAGGTGAAATTCTGATAAATAAGGTTACGAAGTGGTGCTGAGGGGAGATTAGGAATTTAATTAGTTGCTTGATCTTTGACTTTGCCTGACTGATCCGGCCGTATTTTTAGTTAATAGATTATTTTACTACATGTACACGTGTTTTCTTGCTCGGTCGGTCGCGTCATCGTCACGGTCATTAAAAAGGTGGCATTTGCCCCTATTTTTTACTTTAATACTTTGTGTTTGTATTACTTTACTTTGAGTCAAGAAACAATACTCATTAAAATTTGTATTCTTAATATTGCAGAATTTCAGTGAATCCTTTGTTGGGAGCTCAATTATAAATTAGGCATCATGGATTTCACTGGAGATTTCACTGGGTCTGGGTCTGATAAGGACAAGGGTCGCGAACAACAGCAGCAACAACATGATCTCTTGAGTGGGTTGATGGGGTCTTCGTCTGTCAGTCATGGAGGGGACAGCCACTTTGAAGAGGACTTGATGCGGGAATTTAACCAGAAAGCGACCGAGTTGTCCACATTTTTGGACGAGTCGACCCCCATTCATCCTGCCGTGGCGGCTGCGGGAGGGCTGGGCGTTGATTTGCTCAGCGCCACGTCTGTGTCTGAAAAGAGCTCCACGGACACGAGCCCAAATCCACCAAATCTTAGTACCCAAGCCCAGTTCATGGAAGCTATGGGTGGCAGTGGAGGTTCCTCTTCCGGAGGAGACTTTGACCTCATTGGGGATTTTAATCAGAAAGCAGACTTTAGTAGCAGCGCGGGTGGAGATTCAACTAAAATTAAGGAAGATTTAATGTCGGCATCTCGTGAGTATGGTCAAGATTCACCGATGGATCTCGGGTTTGAACAGGTCGCCCACGGTGGTGGCGAAAAGAATGTCCAACAGCATTCCGTATTCGGAGATCAAATGGTGCCTCCCTCGGAACAGTGGACGGGTATGGGACACCCCGAAGTTGACTTTCACAACACCCAGTCAGAACCGGTGATGAAGTTTGGTGGTGCTGATGAAGAACGTGAGTCACCTAAACTCCCGGATGAGCCGTGTTTCAAACCAAAGCCCGAGTACTCGTCTTCGCACGGATTATTGGACCCGACCTTCAATATTGAGAAGAGCAGTTACTCGGCCCCAGAAGTAAGTCCAAAGCTTCCCAGTCCTAAACTTGAACATTTCTACGAAGGTGTTGAAACAGGAGAAAAGGGTGGATTTCCTGTTGCAGCTGAAATCTATGACGATTATTCACGTCGGGATACCATGGCGTATCAAGAAGAGTTCGAGGCCAAGGATTCATTCAGAATGACAGATGCAGCACCCCCACCAATTCCTAAACATTCTTACGAAACATCATCATCATCTCCACCTCCCGTTCCTAAGCATGCGGATGAAGTGTCGTTTCAAGAGCAGCGGGGAGGTCCGCCCTTTATCCATGCCACATACGATGATAAAATTGATGATGAGTTTGAAGATGACTCGTTATCTCGACCACTATCGCACAAACTCTCAGACTCTTTGGAGGTCTTGAAGGAGTCTCCTCAGAAGGAAATGCAATTGGACGAATCGCTCATGGATCTCGATGAGCTTCCGTCTTCCTCTTCATCCAACGCCTTTGACAAGAATATTTCTGGTGGTGGGGACTTTGGCGGTGGTGAAATTCCAAGGGAAATGCTCGAATCAACCCTCTTCTCTCAACAACCTCCCACGTCCGTGACGGGTGGAATGATGGACGAGGAAGAAAAATATGAGTTTACTCATGATGTCGACCAAGCCAAACCGGTAGCTTCCATCCCACCGTTTGCAAATCAACAACAACGAGGTACTGATTCTATTCTACTCTACCATGATTTTATAATGATTTTTTATAGCTACCTTCATGTTAATGATGCATTCATGATTATTTTCAGTTGATGACATTCAACCACCCAAATTCTATGAAAGTGAAGAGAGCTCTTCCCAACAGAGCAGTAAGGACAAAGATCGGGATTCACCGTTCTATTCCCCCTACGACAAGAAGACGGATCACTTTGAGAGTAGTCCGACTCCTCCCCCTCAAGAACAACCAGAGGTTGTCGAGGTCAAGCCACCAACCATTCCCAAGACTGAGATGTCCGTGGCTCCCACCATCGTGGAGAAAAAGGTGGAACCACCTCCCCCTATTCCCGTTCCAGAGGAAAAGCCAAAACCAAAGGTGGTGGAACAACCGCAAGGGAAAAAGGCCACCGCGCGCCACTCGGTCGAAGTCACGGACAATTCAGACTTTGAAATTAGCGAAGAGATTCAACAGATTCTCAACACATTTAATCCAAGTAAGTAAAAATTAATATATCGTGTATTCTTTTGTGCTGATTTTCATGAATGTTGGTTGGTTGGTTGGCTTGTGATGTAATGTACTTGATATTTCTCCAAGTTCATGAAGATTCGTCCAACGCATACAAAAATCGCAGACTAACACAGTTTTTTGTCCATGCAAAAAATGCAGATACGACGTGTAGTACTTTTTTATGAGTCAGAATCTGGTGAGTGACCATGAGCAATGTTTACCAGAAATACTTATAGTTATGAGACGCCTCAGGCTATTTTAGTCGGTCTAGTAACTGCTAACTAGAACAACAACAATGCTATATAACCAATACTTCCATTGTTCCCGACACTGAGGAAAACCTAAACCTAACGAACCAAAGGTTACAGTTATTGTATGCAAACAAAGGACGTATACATATTTTAGTCAGACCGGACATAGATTGTGTGAAACATGTTAAACGGGAGACTTAAATATACATTTTAGGTTGGGTCCTTTGTCATTAATTTTGCCCTCTATTTTAACAACAGTAAATTTGGTAAGCAGGGCACTGCATATAGGGACGCTGTTGAATACATGTATAGCTGGTGGTGGTGGTTGGTTTGGTCATGCTCACTGCGAATGGAGGCTCTATAACGCTGTGGAGTCTTCTTGTTTTGCTCCAGTGGAATTGACAGTTATTCCGTTGCCCACTATTATACCACATGCACTTCTTTGTACACATGACGATATTGACGTCGTGCTGTTGATTCTTGTATCTCGCTGGACTTTGAATTTTATTCGATAACACAAAAAAAAGTTGTGCACAATAATTTTATTTTCTCATATTGACAACCAAAACCAGTGGTTCACTTCTGGAAAATAACGACAGCAACATTTCTTGGACCGTTAAAACATAAACACAAATTAATTTCCGAGTTTGAATTTTGGAGCAGTATTCAAACAAACAGTTGTAAGTTTTGTTTTCATTGTTTACCCTTTCCAACAGTAATCTTCAATCTCTCGTGAAGGCTTCCTGATTTTAAAAATCTGACTTCATATTACAAATTGCATTACAATTACGCACCGTTTTCTAATTTAGAGACGTTTTAGCTTGACATAATTTCTAATTATCAAATTGAATCCACTTTTTGCAGAATAGACAAAATATCATTCGTTCCGTTTACTGTGTATATAGCTAGTTGAACGTTGAAAAAGTTCTTTTTAAACAGTCCTACATTTTAAAGAGATATTTATGAATATTCAAAGTATGCAAACGTTCAGTTGCTCGCAAGCTCTTGCATAATGCGCCCAGAATATATTCCAATTTAGAACATGCAACTCTTATCTGTATTTAGGCAACCATAATCTGCCTAATGTATGTATTCTCTTTGCCTGTGAAAAGCAATAACAATAGTTATGATAGTATTTAACCTGCATAACCTCTCTCATACATGCACATCGAATATCCATCGTTAGTATTCTCAATTCATTTATTTTATGACGAATGGAGTGCATTAATAGTGTTGCCTCTGTCCGTGCATGTTCTCATCTCGTCGTTTATTATTTGATACCCATCCATGATTATTGCAATTATTGTTTTTGCGAAACTATAATATGATCAGCAGCAGGAGCAAAAATATATATTCACATTGTGCATCCATGATCATGACCAGGAAAACCAGTTAAACTAAACTTTGGACTTGTACTTATTGAATTGAGATGGGAAAGTGGGGAGGAATACTTCTCAGGCATGAAGAATGATGATGATAGTTCTCTCCTCGACCTTGCATTAAATTCATTCTGTTTTAACTAAGGTTGAGTGAGAAGAGCGCTACCATTTGTTGTTTGTGGAGGGGAGGAAAAAACTAAGATTAAATACCCAACGACAAAATCTGCTGTGTCCGTATAGCCGCATAACACATCATTCCTGTAGTGTAGGTAGAGAGAGAGAGATTGAAGATTACTTAAAATTTTTAGAATAAAACCACGGTCTTTAACTTCTAGCGTCTTGTATGTATTCAACTAATATCCAATTGGTTGAAATTCCCTCTTAGGAAAACATGACGTCCGATTTCGACAACAAGAGTACAAACGGGTCGAATAGTCCGTACAGCGATTTGGGAGCTGGCGATCTCATTGAGAAGGCTCTCAGTCCAAGTTTTGCCAGTGTATTGTGTCCAAGTAATTAAATCGGTTTTAATCAATATTATTATCATTAAAAGGTCGTGTACCAAAAATAGCGACAACAATTTGTACACAAATTTACAAGCCAACCAATTGACTAACATGAACGTATATAATTGCATTACTTCGCAATTTCATGACTTTGCATTTTCCAACGCTAAACTAATTATGACCATTTATTTTCTTTTTGTCAATTTTAGGAGCGTGGTTTGACCCTGCAAAATTGCATCCCACAGGTGAGCCTCGTAATTTAATTGTCCTCTTAATTGATTTTGCTTTCACTCACTCGGACCTTTCTTGAGGCGACGTATATATGTACGACGTTTGCTAAAAGGGTGGTCAAAGTGGTCGGATGGAGGATCTCATAATTTCATTTCATCTTTGCTGGAGAAGAGAGAAAGCGAGTAAGTGAAAGCTAAATGCGTCGTGATGAGTGGCCACAAGAAAGAGGCTGCTTTCACTGAGCGGGAAATGTACACGTGCCATCCTCCAAGTTTTGTGAAAGCAGACAATAGAGGAGTGAAACGTCGTAGAACGCGTTGCTGGGTTGTTGTGTTGGTAGGTGGTGGTTGTTGCTTATGGGAGAAAAGGAGGAGGGTGAAAGTCCTCCAAAATCACTTGGTTACAACATAGGAGGGAAAGTGTAGCATGGATAATGCGGTACAAGTTTTGGTGCAGGACTTCAGAGACCTATAGCCAGACGAAGAGGGTGGCGATATTCACATCCTATCAACCAATGCCCTCCTTTGCTGGGCACGCCAGTATTGTACACGAACGTCGAGAAAGGATCGCATGTGCTTGAAAGAGTACGAAATTCCATGCATTGCAGGTTGCTCTCCGAATATACGTAGATATGTATGTATGGAATTGGATGATGAGCATATGATAGCAAAGTAAACAAACAGAAGAAAGTGTTTCTATTCGTCGTTGGGCATCCCCTTTGAATTGAACAGTCCGACTAAGTAAGCAGGGAGAAAGGAAGAGAGTGGTTCCAGAGAGTTTCTTTAGTATCGATCCGCACTTGGAGAGTCGGGACGAATTCGTGCGGGGGGATATTTTCATTCTCAAAATCTCGGAGGAGGATATTATAGCGTGGTTTGGGCGACTCTCTTTCTCTCTCTTGGCTTGGCTTTCTCTGCTCCCTACAAATGGAAAGTAAGTCCTCCATCCAATAATACAAGTAGGTATATACACATAGTCAAATTCGGGAATATAAAATTTAGTTTCGGAGGGTAAAGTTGACGCTTGAGCCGTCCCAATTTTATTCCACTGTTTACGTGCGTGAGCTTCTGCGTTGTATGAATAGCATTGGTCGAATTGATGTCGTATATAATAGTGCCAACCTGGGAACGTCCTATTGTATATTTCTCCCAATCTATTGCTGAATCAGGCGTCAACTAAACTAGGTCTTTCAACCCTAATAATTTCAGTTCAAAATTCAGAAAAATATTTACAAAACGTTTTCTCCTGTCGAATTGTTCAATAACTGAATATACAAAAAATCTCCTTGTGTGAGAAAAAGCTCTACTCCAGTTGGTCTACTCTCTTTATCGAGGTCGCCGATATCTTAAGGCTATAAGCTTGCCAAATACTTGAAACAAGTTGGGCTATATGGTTTTGGCAAGAGGAAGTTCGTTTTTAGACGACGATACTGTTGAAGATTTAAGCCTGTTGTTTTTGTGTTCCGAACAGTTTCAAAGTTCGGATCCGAGTTTTCTCGGAAACTTTTTTTTGCACAGTCTTTAAAAAGTTTGTCGTGGAAGCATTTGCACAAACCTTTCTTTTCGGACTTGTGACGAGAGTGGATGGAGCGTGAGTGAGTGAGTTGTTGGAGAGAAGAAAGAAGCTATAGAAATGTGCATTGCTACAACTGCAATGCACTTTCAATAAAAATAAATTCCGACCTATTTCCGTGATAAAGTCATCTAGTTTGTGTGTGTGTGTGGGAGCGTGAATCTGTAAAAATACGAAACAATCATGGCAGGATTCATAAACAGAGAGTGCTGTAAGTGTAATAATACATTGATTTTTTATTAATCTGTCTATATACTAGCAGAGTATCTCAGTTTTCAATAATCTTTATGGGAGGTGAGGTCGTAATCCTAATTATTCATTTCAACAAATTTTTGCAAACTGACCAAATAAAGCAGAATTTATTTATTGTCGCTGACATTTTTATGGTTTACAAGTTCAAAAATCAAGGGCATTTTCATGTATATGTATCATTTTTTTAAATCATGAAACCATATCAGAGTTGCAATATGCTTCCGTTTCAAATCACACACTGAACTTTGATCTCATGATAAGTCAGCATTTCGCTTTCATTGATTCTTGATTCATTCTCTTCACTTGAAAATAGTTTGTGATGGAAAGGCAAGGGTTGCGAATTTTAGCCGGTTGCACGAGTCACATTTGCCAAAAAACCGGAGCTATTCCATGCTGCTTGGCTGTGTGATATACAAAGTTATCCATGACATAAGGCGTGGTCTGGCCTAAATGCTATCTTATCAGAAAAAGTGTCTCCTCGGTCGACGAGTTTGAAGTGTTGGAGTGAGGTGGAGGTTTGTTGGCATTTATTTTATCTATGCAGTTTAAATCTCAGATTAGTGGAATATATATGTGATCAGGATGATGGCGAGTGTGCAGTGTTCGTTAAGTAAGATGTACCAGCACTAGTTGGTTATATGAGCTACTGCTCCGATAGACGGCAAGGAGGACAAAAGCTCTAGGCTCAAAATAGTTCATTCCATAAGCTGATTTAGGTACATTTTTAGATCCAGATATACTAACTCTGCTCATAGTTCCACATATTTCTTATGCAATGCCAACAAATGAAGTATTTCTTTTCTTTGCTCTTTGTGAGAACCACAAACTCGAAGCATTTCACCTTGATGAATTAATTTTGACTAACGAAATATGTAGCACAGAATGAGAAATACGTATGTTTTTAAAGACTATTATTGCGCTAATCCTAAATGCTTCTACCCTGTATTTGATGGATTTTATTGGTTTCAAGTGAAATACAAGATGGAGTAGAAACTTAAAAAGTGAAACTCTGCTAAAACCAGTTGAAGTCGGGCAAGCTTGTTGTAGAGGTCATGATACCATTTTATGTTGCATATGTATATGAAAGAGATGTGCTATAAATGCAGTATTACATTTGTGTCTAAGCAGCTAGGGCTGATTTGCAAATAAATAATGCAATCTTTTGTGCAGAATGTTACAAGAGATCCTCTCTTTTCACTGCTATGTATATATTTATGTAGTCAGGAGCATTCACTCTTTCCCCTTTTTGTCATTTCATGTAACAAGTCTATTTACTTGAAATTTGCTATGAAACTGACAGTTCCGTCGCATGTCGTATGTTTAATCATGCAATAATTAGTGAAACCACGCTGGTATGTGAACTTGATGTTTGAATTAGTGTGTGTATTGTTGCTTATTTGTTTGTTGGTGAGTCATCAATTCATCATCACTTGCTGGAACGAAACAGTTGGAAGTATTTAATTGACACAATAAAATTGAGCATCCTCGTCATCAACCCGCAGCGCTCTTATTTCAGCATGTTTGAAGTAATTCATGCGTGACCCTGGTTGGGGGCTGTGCTGGGGGTTTAAAAAACCAACATTTATATATCTATATAGGGATCCAAATTGTTGTTGTAACCTGGTGTAGCTTTGGCTAATAAGGGATCGGTAGTTGTGATGATGCTGGCAGCGTTGGAGATGATGTGACCATCCGCTTGTGAAGTGTATGAGGCGTAAGGTGTGGGATCATAGACTTGTCCGTCGAGTTGTTTCGTTGCTGTTTCTGCTGGCTTCATACGTGAAATAATAAGAACTTGTTGCTTTATAAAAGTAAGTCCATCTTTATTGCACTCTACAATAAATTGTGGCTGCTGTTGCACTATTGTGTGATACAAGATTCGAATGAATATTATACCCAATGCTGTGTAATCCACCTCAAACACGCAGATAGGAAAGGATTATACGCACCACTCTGTGTCTACATGCAGCAGTTTTTCAAGTCAACTTATGGCTGTAAAGGCACTAGGGAATGTCCATATATTACGTCATCATTTTAGTGGGTGGGTGGTTTAGGTCTTCCTATCTTTCCCATGTTAAAATTCCCTATCCCTTAATGTTTACGTCGAGTGGGTGGGTGCTAAAATCGAGAATTCTTGATGACGTAATATATGGATGAACCCCTAGTTCTGTCTGATAGCTGCTGCCGTAGTCATTCATAGGGGGAATTTTTACGGGTTTATTACATACAGACAAGTTATTACTGTTAGATTAGTAACTCGGGTTACTCTTCTCTCAAAGTAATAGTAAAATAATCAGAGACACCCACAAGGATTTCATATTCGCGATATGGGAGCAGACCTGCAAGTACTTATAATAATATAATATTGAACACTCGTCGTCATAGTTGGTCACATCAAACTGCTTACTGGTGCATTTAAGTTTGCAAAGCAGTATGTTACTGATCTCATTGGAGTTTCCATATTGAGCAAAAATCAGGAAACCATTCTTGCGGCGTTGTGACTTTCGTTCAAGATTCAACTTTCGGTTGTCATTATTGTCAAGACATCGAGTCCGTCGAGTGAGCATTTAGTTTTCAGTGCTTTCAGTTTTAGCTAGTGGAATAAATCAGTCTTCTTTCTTTCTGTGAAGTTCGCAACTGACCACGTTGCGAAATCAAACCGTCCATATGGGTCGCAAACATAGACAGGGCTCAAATGGGGATGTTGCAGAGGTCGTCTATGATGATGGACCTGGTAAAGAAAAACATGCCCATGCATACATACATAATTTCATCTCCCAATTCATGAGAGCAATAAGAATATGAGATTTGTTGTAATAATGTGGTAATAGTGTGTATTTTTATAATTTTCAGTGAGCGAACTCGTTTACTGGAGGGACCCCAAGAAGTCTGGCGTCGTCTTTGGAGCTATCTTTGTCGTTTTGATCGCCTTGACCTGTTTGGTAAATACACCAATAATTACCTTACTTGTTCGCGACCTCGACCTCAGAAAGATATTGACAACTTATCAATTTAACCTTATCTGTTTCTGTGTTTTAGTCTCTCATCAGCGTCGTTGCATACACTTCCCTTGCCGTGCTTTCAGGCACCTTCGCGTTCAGGGTGTACAAGGTAGATACATATTGCAACTTAATACCACATAGATTGTTCCTTGTTGAGGATTTTGTGGACCATGCTAAATTTGGAGTATTTTTGTATGTTAATATTAATCTGTGTAATGTGTAGGCCGTACTCCAAGCTGTTCAGAAGACCACTGAAGGTCACCCCTTCAAGTACGCACATCATCACTCGTTGCAAAAATTTCGTGTTATTATAATGATGAGAAATAAATATATGTCTTTGCCTACACAGGGATTACCTGGACTTGGACATCACGTTTTCTGGAGAAAAAGCCCAAGAGCTGAGCAACGCTATAATCAACTACGCCAACACCGGTATCCTCAAGTTGCGACGGTAAGTTGACACAAGAGCAAAAGTACAAAATTATAGGATTTCATCATCTTGCATACATATTGCAACTTATTGCTACAGATTGTTCCTGGTTGAGGATTTTGTGGACTCTGCTAAATTTGGAGTATTTTTGTATGTCCTCACGTACATTGGTGGATGGTTCAACGGACTCACCCTCATCATCTTGGGTAATAAATTATTACTAACAATAGTAACGAATTGTTACGCACATGTAGTACATGCACATACATAAAACGTAAATTATTTTCATTTGATTCGTTCTGTAGGTGCCATTGCTCTGTTTTCACTCCCAAAGGTCTACGAAACCAACAAAACGGTTATCGATCAATACATCGATCTGGTCTGGGGAAAAGTGTCCGAGATTAATGCAAAGTGAGTGTTTCTTCAACTTTCTCCTCATCACAGTCGTCACGCACATTTCGTCACTAGCTCTTCTAACACGACTTGGTTCTAATTTTGTTGTTCACTTTCCTAGGGTCACCGCTGCAGTTCCCTTTTTGAAGAAGGAGAAAGCTCAGTAAACTGTCACCGTCATCATCACATCTTTTCATGAAAGCAACAAGCATAATATCCAGCCCTCCTAAATATATAAAAAAAAATCAACTAGTTGTGGAACATGAATTTTGAGTATGTATCATCGAATGGATCATGTGGATGAGTATAATTTTGTAATTGTTACGTATTGTAAACGCGGCTGTATTATTTACTTTTTATGCTGAGCACTGAATACTACCAATTTTGTTATTAGAAAACTAAGAATGTTATCAAATTACTTCAACCCAAGAAATAACATAAATGTTCCCTCATCGTCGTCACTACTCACTCAATTATTACTCTTGTAGTACCATTATTAACTCTAACAATAAGACATAGTGCAAATTTCACGAACTAAATATTTCATGTTATTGCTCGCAGCGTGCTATCAGTAGACTGATAAGGTTTTGTTTTTGAGTATGTCGGCAGGTTCAAAATTAATTACTTCATTTGCAAAGTTTAAGTGGCAGGGCAAGTCCATTATTCTTATTTTTAACAAGGAATAAAATCTTGTGAGCCTGTTGTCACATTTATGTATGTAAAACCACTCTTTCTGTTTATTTTGGCTTTTATTTATTTGCACAATCAATTGGTTGTCGCATTCAGTCAATCACTTTGATTTGACGTTGTGTTCACACGCGGACGCATAATAATGTGTATGCCCCTTGTTTACTACTATGTGATATAATAATAATGCGACAAGTGAGCAATTGTAATTGAGCTGCTGCTGCTGCTGCACTTTGTCACATATTGTACATACAGAATGCGAAGCATAACGAACGGTCAAGTACAAAGCAACCGTGCATACTATATTTATTACCATAAGAAGAATGTATTTGCTGTGTGGTCAGGATTATTATTGCAGCAGCTCTTCTGCTCCAAAGTATAAGCCAATGTGTCAATGAGTCAAGCAGGTCTATTGTTCCAATCATTACATTCTGAATTATTAACCTTTTCACTCTTTCCTCATATACAAACTCGTATCTTGAATTGACATAAATTGGAACTTTTATAAATTTGATGTCAAATATTTCAATAACTCAAATCTAACAATCCGACCCTATTGATCCGCTGCTTTCGAGAGGAGTGTCTTCTCTACCCTCATGCTAGAGTCGATGGGTAAATTAACGAGTATACATAATTCGTATGCTTAAGTATTTTAGGTTGGTAGGATAAGCTTCGTAGTGTACGCTTGTGAGTAGTGTACGCTTTCAGTGCAAATCACGCAATTGTCGAATATACATAGTTCATTTCATAAGTAAGATGTACATGCTTTCACCAATGGCTTGTTTCCGATAGCTTTTACCCTTCCGCCATAGGTAGGATTTTCAGTTAACTATGTGAAGAAAATGGGATCACCGTTGTTCTGACCAATTTCGTTTAATGATTTGAAGTGACATTAATTTAATTTACAAATAACAAGCCTTGTAGCAGTAAGATTAATTTGAAGTGAGTCATTTAAAAACATGTATGTATGCATTTTTGAATACAAACTAATGATCACTTTTGTGAAAATTGTGAGCATTGAGCAATTTACAAATGTATCAGTGAGCAAATTCTCACAATATAAATAAAATTTAACTATTTGATTGCTTTTATGTACTAATAAAAAACAAGATAAATAACCACGTAAATTTTGCCTACTCTTATTTCGTGTATCAAAGATAAGAAGAGTGTGACAATGATCTACATTTAAATGTATGCATGCATAGATTCGATTGGAGTTTTGACCCCTTGATTGTGCGGATACATGGACTTTCCTAAAGTACAGAAACGGTTGACAGTGCAATCCTGAAAATACACATGCATTTGGCAAGATGATCATTTCCCATTTGTTCATTTCAGGATTTGGCTACGATACAATTTCCAATTCTTATTTGAGTAAATGGAAATGTAAATAAAATACAAGCACATCTCTGTTCTCTGTATTTGTAAAATCTGTGAAAAAAATCGTGGGCTGATATACAGTCATTCATAACACAAGCTTGCCTAAATCTATTATTTCTTATTGATCTCTCCATGAGATAGTGCATATTCCATGATTAAGGAGGCAGACAGATTTCAGTACATGCAAATTATAGAGTATCGATGACATCGACCTTCTAACAGGGTTTGCTTCCAAGTTAATCACAGATAAATGTTGATTCCAACTTGAACGTCCGCTCAGGCAAAAGCTACACGAAAACCATTTAACTATACTAATTCTATTTAACACACTGAACACGTCCATACGTACGTACATGCAAATAAATACGCTGCTTGCTTCTTCTTATAACATGACATTATTATTATTCTCCGGGGCAGATTTGTATGAATGTGCATAGGAGATGAGAACTTGACTTTGACTCCCAATATTACACTTGGTCGTTCAGAGTCGACTTGTACCGAGGATATGAGAGAGCAAGAACCAGCTTTTACACAGAACAAGGAACGAACATCCTTGAAACATTGCCTCCTTCTTTACATCTGCTTCACTCCTGATCTTCATCAGCTCTTCAATCCGTGCCACAAGAAGAAGACGACGACAATACTCTCAACAAGTGAGTCCTCATAATTGTAATTGCCATCAAATTGGAAAAGCAATCATTTTTCATCGCTTGTCTACGAATTTAGGTGCAGTCCAGTCCAAGAGTTAGTGCCCGGATCTTCACAGCCGATACCGGTCGCTTTGTTACAGCAGCAGGTACATATTTATGTGCATATGCAGAAATCAAGCAATATTAATTTTAAAATGTGTGAATTTTTCTGTCAAAATTTGCATCAATTTTCTCTAGAATGGCGTCTCAATGTGTCAGAGATGAGGAGCATGAGCGTCGGAAGCAAATCAGTGTTCGTGGGATCGCCCAAGTCGAAAATGTGGCCAATATTAAGAAGACATTTAATCGGCATTTGCACTACACTCTGGTCAAGGACAGGAACGTGTCCACTACGCGAGACTACTACTTTGCTCTCGCACACTCCGTCAAGGACCACTTGACCTCGAGGTGGATTCGCACCCAGCAGTACTGGTACGAAAATGACCCCAAGGTGAGTTCAATCTAACGACATTTTCATATCAAAATTTCTTCATATAACGTCCCACAAACTTTACTAAAACTGATCAAATTCTAATTTCAGAGGATTTATTATCTGTCTCTGGAATTCTATATGGGCCGATCCCTATGCAATACGATGGGAAATCTGGGCATCCAATCTGCTTGTGATGAAGCCATGTACCAGGTACATACGTGTTTTTACTTCAATTTAAAATTTTATAAACTTCCTTCTTGGTAGTAGATTTGACATAACAGCGAAATAAAATGCATATGAATTGGTTTGACATTTCCATCTGATGATACACACAAACAAGATACCTAAAAGTGGCTGGTTTGGCTCTATTGAACGTGTGTGAATATGTACAGATGTGCATATGTATATTTTTATGTGTGTGTGGCTGTCTAAGCGGCCAAGCCAGACATGAGAGATTAAGATTACATAACGAACAAGCAAGCAAGTGACATAATTTGACCTTGACTGAATATTAATATTCTCGATGTATGTATTCCATAGCTGGGTCTGGACATTGAGGAACTTCAAGAAATGGAGGAAGGTACGACTACTATGCTATAGGAATATTATTAATTCATCACTTTTCAACTCTGCTTCCCGACATCAGAATGCTTTACAAAATCTCGAATCACATTTATCAAAATGCTCTGCTCATGCCAAACATTGAAGATTCTTAACTGTAATAAACAGATGCGGGTCTGGGCAACGGGGGGTTGGGTCGTTTGGCCGCTTGCTTTCTTGACTCAATGGCCACTCTGGGGTTGGCCGCGTATGGCTACGGAATCCGCTACGAGTACGGAATTTTCGCTCAACGAATTCGCAATGGGGAGCAGATTGAGGAACCCGATGACTGGTTACGTTATGGATGCCCTTGGGAGAAAGCCAGGCCCGAGTACATGGTTCCAGGTACGCTCTTATTTCAAGATAGTGAAAATGATTTATTTATGTGCAATTTTATTTTAACCGGAAATATAGTCAACTTCTATGGGAGGGTTGAGGACAATCCGAAAGGAGGACGCAGATGGGTGGATACCCAAGTAACTAACTATTATCTCGCAAATTGCATATGCACGAATAATGCAACTCTATACATACGTCTAATTGCAGAAAGTGCTTGCACTGCCGTACGACAATCCTATTCCTGGATACAAAAACAATGTCGTCAACAATCTTCGACTCTGGTCCGCAAAGTCACCTGTTGAATTCAACCTTCGTTTCTGTAAGAATTAAATGTCTTATTGGGTGAGCGTCGTATGTACCATCATGCACTAAGGAGGGGAGCTTGTGAGGTTGATAATAACAGATCCTGATGCCCTTTGGATATGTGGTAGGGTCCTATGAGTGTACTAAAACCCTGAAGTGGTTTGACTCCATAGCCACGTTTGCGCCCGCCACACCCACTCAAAAATGCCCAAAAACCGCTTTCACTCCAGTTTTCACTCACTCAAATCCACGCCAAAAATCCAATTTTGCTCGGATTTTGAAATTTCTTTCACCATTACACTCCCAGATAGTTGCTTTCTTCAATCCAATGTCAATCTCAATTTTGATGATGATTATTTCGCAGGCATAATTTGCGTTGTTGATTACTACAACATTGCTCATTCAGAATTTTAAATTTTAAAAATACTAATAATTTCGAAAATATTGAGTTTGATATCGAATTGAAGAAAGCAACTATCTGGGAGTGTAATGGTGAAAGAAATTTCAAAATCCGAGCAAAATTGGATTTTTGGCGTGGATTTGAGTGAGTGAAAACTGGAGCGAAAGCGGTTTTTGGGCATTTTTGAGTGGGTGTGGCGGGCGCAAACGTGGCCATGGAGTCAAACCACTTCAGGGTTTTAGTACACTCATAGGTCCCTACCACATATCCAAAGGGCATCAGGATCTGTTATTATCAACCTCGCAAGCTCCCCTCCTAAGTATAACTTGGCCATGTTTTAGTCAATGATGGAGACTATATTCAAGCCGTTCTGGATCGGAACTTGGCTGAAAATATTTCCCGAGTATTGTACCCCAACGACAACTTCTTTGAGGGGAAGGAACTTCGTTTGAAGCAGGAATACTTCATGGTGGCAGCCACCCTAAATGTATGATACTAAATTGTGTGTGTGAATAATTGTACGTGAAGAATAACCAAACAAATCATTCTGTACTTATTCAGGATATCATTCGACGGTTTAAAAATTCAAATTTTGGATCCAGAGAAGCCACCCGAACAAATATGGATTTACTTCCCACTAAAGTTGCCATCCAGCTTAATGATACTCATCCGTCACTCGCAATTCCAGAGTTGATGCGAATTTTAATCGATGTCGAAGGCCTCACTTGGGACAAGGTTCGAGCCTTAACCTTTTCTAGTTATCATTTTCCGACCTAATAATAATATTGAATTGAACTCTTCTTCCAGGCGTGGGAACTCACTGTGAAAAGTTGCGCCTACACCAATCACACAATTTTGCCAGAAGCCTTGGAGCGCTGGACATGTGTAATGTTGCAGAATATTTTACCACGACACTTGGAAATCATCTATCACATCAACCACCTCTTCCTCCAGGTACAACTTTACTCTAACGGTCGGAGATTTAAAAAATCGTGCCATCCATGTCTACTTTTTAGCCCGAACCAGGGCTTATGTAATTGTCATGTCCGTCTGTCTGTCTGTCTGTCTGTCTGTCTGTCTTTCGATAACTCTCGAACGAGTTGACCGATTGACTTGAAATTTTTACCATATGCATATTGGACAAAGTTAGGAAACGAGTTCGAAGATGGGTGACATTGGTCCAGTGGTTGACCGGTGGGGGTCATCGGAGTGGGTGGGGTATTATGCACCAAAATTTCAAAATCGTCATAGAAAGCTCAAATTTGGCACAGAGGTTGCTAATGGCTCCTAATAGATAAAACCTACAGTGCAGACTTGATATAGCCCGAGTCAGGCAAGTTGTGGTTATGACCCAATCCGACTTGATTGCACGAAATTTTATCGTAAATGCATATCAATATTTTTAAAATAAAAATTAATGTTTTCATTTAAAATTCACATTCTTAAATTAGTAGCAATTTGCAGCATATGTAACAACTTGCGGTTCGATACGACGATTAAAACAAATCCGTATGGGTCACCCAGTAGGGTCCCTCACATGAAAATTTTTCTGATTTTAATTCATATTGTTCCATTACGAGCCTTTACCAATTTCTCTACCACAGCTCGATTGTATGAATTTGTAAAATCGGTATGGGTCACTTAACAGGATCTCTCCAGACAAAAATGTTTAAATTTCAATTCATATTCTGCTATTAGTTACATCTAACAATCCCTACACCAAATTTCAGCTCGATTGGACGAGTTTTAAAAATCGGCATGGGTCACCCCCTAGGATCCCTCCACACACAAATTTCTTGAAATTTTACTTTATATTCTTTAATTACAAACCGTTATCAACCTCTGTACCACATTTAAGCTTTATACGACAATTTTGAAATTTTGGTGCATAATACCCCACCCACCTATATGACCCCCACCGGTCAACCACTTGACTGATTTCGCCCATCTTCGAACTTAAGTCCTCATTTGGCCCATACTACATGTGTGCAAAATTTCAAGTCGATCGGATTAGTTTTACGACAGTTATCGCAAGACAGTCAGACGGACAGACGGACGTGACCGTTACATAAGCCCTGACTCGGGCTAAAAATGAGTTCAAGTTGGAAAAATTTTCATCTTGAGGGACCCTATGGGGTAGCCCATACTGATTTGTCAAAATCGTCATATCGAGCTGAAATTTGGTGGAGAGGTTGCTTATGGGTCCTAATGGAAGAATATGACATGAAATTGGTAAAATTTTTATCTAGAGCGACCCTATGGGGTGACCCACACCGAATTTTAGAAATTAACATAGAAAGCTGAAATTTGGACCAGAGATCCATCCTGCTTTTTCACGAAATAATATGAAGTTAAATATGAACAAAAATTAACCAGGGGGGTATAGAGACGACCTCCACTAGGAAGGAGTCAAGGGAAGGGATAGTAAATAGTTTTAGAATTTGGAGCCTAGTAATACGAAGGATTGATGGAATTTTATAGAAAACTACTGACAAACACTGGTTTACTAATCATTCCTGGTTCGGGCTAAGCAAAGCTGTACTGATAGGTTTTGAATACAATGAATTACTAATGAATGAATTACTTATGGATGTAGGAAGTCCATAAAAAGTTTCCTGGCGATATGGACCGCATGCGAAGGATGTCGATGGTTGAAGAAGAGGGCGAAAAGCGAATTAACATGGCTTTCTTATCAATCGTGGGATCCCATGCTGTCAACGGAGTAGCTGCGATTCACTCTGAAATTCTAAAGACCGATTTGTTCAAGGATTTCTATGAAATGTTCCCAGAACGATTTCAGAATAAAACTAACGGAATAACTCCACGTCGTTGGCTACTTTTGTGCAATCCTAGTTTGTCTGATGTTATTGCAGAGGTTTGTGTAATTGCTTGGTCACTGCAAGACTTTTATATATAAGACTCATTGTTTTGCACGAAATTTAGAAAATTGGAGAGACTTGGACCGTTCACTTGGACCAACTAGTTCAGCTCAAAAAGTGGGACAAGGACCCCGCCTTCCATCGTAATATTCAGACAGTCAAACAGGAAAACAAAATGAGGGTGGCAGCATTTTTAGAGACCGAATACGGCGTCAAAATCAATCCCGGCTCAATTTTTGACATCCAAGTCAAACGAATTCATGAATACAAACGACAACTTCTCAACGCGCTCCATATTATCACAATGTACAACAGAATTAAGCGCAACCCTACTGGAAAATTTGTCCCACGAACTGTGATGATTGGAGGAAAGGTAACTTCCGCAATTTTACAAATGTAAATATCTCGAGTCATAATAATACACATATTTGTTTGTTTATTTCAAAGGCTGCCCCAGGATATCATCAAGCCAAGCTTATCATTAAGCTCATTTGTGCCATTGCGAATGTTGTGAATAACGATCCAGTCGTGGGAGACAAGTTGAAGGTCATTTACTTGGAGAACTATCGTGTCACGCTGGCTGAAAAAATTATACCCGCCGCGGACCTTAGCCAACAGATTTCAACGGCAGGAACTGAAGCCAGTGGAACTGGTAACATGAAATTCATGGTAAGTGATAAATATGTACATAGTAATGTTTAGTAAGATATCGGTAATATCTAGCAGGACCACTTTTAATGATGGTATAATAATTGTCCATTAAAATTACAGCTGAATGGTGCCCTCACGATTGGAACAATGGATGGGTAAGAATTTGGCTTAATTATTTACATAAACGCATTTTAATTGCACGGTATAAATATCGACATCATTTTGCAGTGCAAATGTTGAGATGGCCGAAGAAATGGGAATGAAAAACATTTTCATCTTTGGGATGCTTTGGGATGACGTGGAGAAGCTGAAGCGAGATGGTTACGACGCTAACAAATACTACAATGCCAATCCAGAACTAAAGTTGTGCGTTGACCAAATTGCGAACGGATTTTTTAGTCCACAAAACCCAAAAGAGTTTTCTCATATTGCGGACATTTTGCTGAAATGGGACAGATTCTTCACCTTGGCAGATTTTGATGCATACATCAAAAGCCAAGATAAGGTCAACGAGACTTATCTGGTAGGTTTGTGCGGTGGTCGCATACGTTTCGATTTATTTATTTTTTTGGACACTTTTAAACTGGAGGTTTCATGTAATTTTTTTCTTACAGAATCAAGAGCTCTGGACAAGAATGGCAATTCACAATATTGCCTCATCCGGAAAATTCTCCAGTGATAGGACAATCGCAGAATATGCTCGTGAGATTTGGGGCGTGGAACCCTCATGGGAAAAATTGCCAGCCCCACATGAGCCATCCGGAACAGATGCTAACACCAATAATGGAAAATAGACAATACTGTAATACGCCGAGACCTGATTCACGACGATAATGACGACAGAATCTCTAAATACTAAAGCCATCAAGTTATGTCAATCTATAGCCAAATCAATAGAAAAAATATTTCCAAAGACTATATAAAACGGTGCAATACTAGACACAACGATAATTTTTAGAACAATCAGTATGTAGTAACATTTATGTATGCGTAGGATAAAAAATGGATAAAAAAGTGCCAATCAAAAACTTTTGACAGTAAAACCAAGTTTGAATGCGATTACAAAGAGCTTTAACGTTACGTGTCCACTGTCTATTGTCTGGTGCCGTAAAAATGTGGAGTCAAATTTATTACATGTATGTAGGTGTATGTTCTACTGCGATGCATGTTCATTTCATTCAGTTAATTTGAATCAATAAATAGTTAATTATGAAACAAAACCAACTTGAATGTTGTGTCGTACACATTTAATTCATGTAATACATTTATTACTCAACATATGCAACATTCTTTCTCTTACAAGTCGTCTCACTTAAATATTTTACATACGTCACTATTTATCAGCGTCTGCATGGCCTCATATAAATCCTGTACAATTAAGCTACACATCTGTAAGTACTAGAAATAGCAAGGAAGTTGCTACTTGCTCTTGACACAACTTAAGGCACCAACCCCCGAGATCCATCATCAGCCTAAAAATATATAGTCGACATAATAATCTATTTCTTATGTTATTTTGTGATAAATATTAGGTAAATATTATGATAGCATTCATTTGGTGTAGTATGCACACCCACCCATTTGTGCTTATGTTAGGTATTAAATATGTGGCATGTTTAAGAATAATGCGATTTTGTTTTAATATTTTGTTCTTGAACAAATTGAGATTTTATTTAGTGAAAAGAGTTTGATGATATAAAATATTCCACAAATGACAAACTTGTATGTATAAATATTTTTATATTATTTTCTACCAAGTCGAGATCCTTGAACTAAACTCGTAAATTTCTTAAACGTTCTATGTTTATTTATTTTTATAAATTAAGTGTTTCATAAATATGTAGTTTGTAAAATTTAAAATCGTGAAATATTTAGATTGATGAATGAAAGACACGATCATTTGTTGTATTTATGTACGAGAATAAATATTTGCACTCATTTACTCTCATTCTTTGTGTGAAATGGGAATATTGAAAGTTTTGTGTGATTGTCAAATTTCTCGAAAAGTGTATCAGTATCACATTGACTAAACTACTGGAAGACACAATTGGTTATATATATTGCAATTTTTATATAGTTGGCAAGTCGAACAAGGTATCAAAATCCACTATGATTGCTGCTTATACTTCCTTCGTTATCAACTTGCGCCAATAATGTTATTAGTTCAACTATGGCGCAAATTACCAAGGAGTAAAGTATATAGACTCCTCCACCACTTGCATACAGTTATTAATGGAAGATGATGGGAAGTTGTATGCATATTTAAATGTCGGAGTCCAGTAACAGCATGCATGGCGCTTTCATTTCTTGTTACGAGAAGAAGAACACCCTGTCGTCCTCTGATTGCATTCTGTGCATAAATCTTTCTCTTTCTTAAACTGAATCATCGCAATTTCTCACTTCATTTTTCAAAGGGAACAAAAAAATCACCAAAGTGCGTACTACTTACGGAACTATTCTATTCTACAGTCGAACGGACCATGCCGATAACAAAAAGAGTAAAACTAAGTAATAATGATAAAACTATATAAGCTAAAAGTAAACCAACCAAAACGACAAGTTTATATAAACCAAGAGAAGCAAAGGTCAATATTATACAGATTAACAAATAAGTACAAAAATTAACAAATTATAGTAACAATAATCGTATATACTTTTAGTTAGCCTACGACCACAAAACACTTAGGATATTACAGAGATCTTCATTAAATAAGCTTGAATTTGATTGATTAAGCAATAAATATATTTTCATATTATCGTCAAACAAATAAAATGATTTAAGAATTAATCGACTGTGACCTTTTCCGTTTCCAACAATCTGGATGAATCCGCTTCTGCTCTTCCGCACGGACTTTGGCGTTCAGCGAGTACTTTTCCCGTTCTGTGGGATCCAGAGTTTGCCACGCCTCCCCCAACAGCACACTAATTGACCTAGAAAATTAGTCAGAGAACATGGCATTTATTGCACAATGTTTCTTAAAAATTTGCATACAAAAAATAACAACCATGAATAACCTACCTGTTATCTTTTCCAGGATACATTTGAATCAATTCGGGTCTCTTGTCCTTGGCAAAGAGGAGAAACCCGTTCATCGGTCGCCGTCCCTTGTTCTCTCCAGGATTGTTGTTCCCCGCAGCATTACTCGCTTTCTTGGGCTTGCTTTCTTTGGCCTTTTTTGCAGGTGAGTTGGACGTGGGACTGGCAAATGTTTTACGACTATTCATCGTTGCTGATGAATTGATATTCATTGATGAGACATGTAGCCCCCCATTATTATTATTACTGCTGTTATTAGCGTTATTGCTACTTGGGCACCCAGCAGGATTCGAGTTGTTGCTGTTCATGGAAGCGGTCTGCATTACGAGGTGATGAGTTTGTGGCACCACTGAGATTGGAACGGGCTTCTCATCAATTGGTTCCATTTTAATGGACTGAATTTGCTGCTGCTGCTGCTGTTGTTGCTGCAGTTGATGTCCATTATTGTTCCCATTGTGATTGATGTGCGAAGGAAATGCTGAATGTTGCGGATGTTGCTGATGATGTTGCTGATGATGTTGAATGGTCTGGTACTGGGGTTGACTATGGTTATTAGCATGATTAGGACTTCGAGCCGAGATGTTGAGACAAATGTCCCCACACTCGAGCAGTTGGCATTGGGTCCCATAAATCTCTTGAAACACTTCGGGTTTCACTGCACACCACGTCGGTTGTCCTGCAAAACAGACACAGAGTCAAGCATTACAAGTTTTCAGTATTGAGTGGCTCGATTGTCTTGCAAAATTATGGCCAATCATAAAAATAAATCAATGAGTCGAGATAATAGAAATATATGGAAAACTTTTGAAAAAAAAGTCTGCGAGAGATAAGGATCAAAACCTAAACAAACTATGTAAACTAACTGAGCAAAAAGAACTCTTAGTTGGCCATTTACATTTATGTAAGTAAAGAAAATAATCATTCAATCATTGTTCTTCTTTTTCTTTGCTTTATTTTAAGAGAAGAGAGAAGTGCGTTTGCAAAAGAGATTATTTATTCTTAGGGCTAAAAGAAAGACTTTTATGGACACTAAATTTCTGGTCCGTAAGACTTCCGCCTCTGATAAGAAGAATGCATAGAGGAGAACTAGCAAATAAGTAGCGAGTTATTGCAGTACATATTTAGCTCTTCTTCTCATAGTCCAAAATAGCTGGAGATTACTCGAGCGTCATATGAACAAGGAGCTAATTGGTGGATGAATTGGTTTGTTGACTCACCCTTCTTCTCCACCATGAATGGATGTCCAGCTTCGCAGTTGACTTCGATGGTCGGATGATGTGGGTCGCCAACTGGGCAAAAGGTCACTTGGATCCTCTCCTTGGCTGAACTCGTCACAATAAACTAGATTCGATATAAAAAATATATAATAAAATAAAAAATCAGTAAATAGAAGCAGCCACGGCAGACGACGACTTGACAGGATGCATACATAAATAAGTGTATCTCGGTCGGTACATATGGGTGCATTTTTATATGGATTTTGAGATTTGAGATTAAGTTCAGCATCGCACAGATTTGTCTCATCCCCGTCTGGCGTTGACATCAATTTATATCAAGCCACAAAGAATTGATTGACTAGCCTACATAAATCCCTATCTGGTCTTGTGCTGCTGCCTGCTTAAATAAATATGTAATAAGACACACTTTATTGCTGGCGGAACACATCTTGGAATAGATGGAAAACCCGTCGTTATTTATTTATTATTGAGATCGAGCAACTTCCTCGATTTAATCCCAAATAATTCCATCCAACCAAGTCATTGACTGCATATTGTACAATTATGCATTGCCTTGTCTGGCTTTGATTGGTGGATGGACAGCAAAATGAGACATGTAAAATGTGCAAATGATATCGGATACTCTCTCACGAAAGCAATCGATCATTTATTATACGCGAATAAAGGCTATAAACTCGGAACAGCCACTTGATCGTCAATTCCATGTCATATTATTCTACTTTTTTATGGCTCTCTGAAGGAGGATGTTTACGACGTAATTTGAGACTTATTACATAGACTTGGAGGAGGTAGAGTTCGAGACACATCGTCTCAATTTTAGGATCAAGACCTACTTTAGATGTGTTTTCGCTACCATTTACTTGTTATGTACATGCGAATAATGAGACGATGATGACGAGAGAGTCGCATCACGTGGTTGGCAAGCACATTGAAATATCAAATGACGAGATGATGATAGCGACTTGATGCTGATTTGACAATGGAGTGATTTGGTATTTTTTTAAAAAGTGCTAACCTTTCTGACTTCCAGCCCATGTGGTGCATATTCGCCCTTGTTGAGGCCCAATGATTCGCCACTCTGCGCCAAGAAGTCGACGAGATACCAATCCATGCAGTTCATCCCGGTCACGAAACGTATCTTTGTTCCCGCCATGAAAATCCCCCACGCAGGTTGGAAAAAGTTGAGCGACTTTTCGTGCAGATCTTCATAGCTGAGCGAGTTTGTGCTGGCCTGAGAAGGCGCAGGGCTCAGCAGCGTGGAGGGAATCATGTTGAAACACGAGTTTGAGCTGGACGACGAGCTCATCGAGGTTATCGTCGGAGTGTTGAGTGAACTCCCTCCCCCGCTTCCCCCACTTCCTCCTGGGGTGCTCAGTGGAGGCAGCAATGGCGAGTTGAGACTGAGATTCGTGAAGGGGCTGCTGGGAGGAGGGTAGAGGGAGGAGGCCCTCATGGGCGAGAAGGGTCCCTGATAAAGGGCCGTGTCCGGGTTTGAGTAGCTGAACACGGGCGAGTTCATGAACTTTGGAGATGGCTCGTTTGGCGTGTAGAATGGGGTTGGCGTCTGGAGGTCACCGTTGCTGTTGGTGCCACTGTGAGCATGGTGACCGTTGTTGATGTGACCATTGTTGTTTGTCGATGGAGAGGTGTGAGACAGTCGTGCGGCCGAGTTCGTAATGCTGCTGCTGCTGGTGGTGGTGGTGATGGTGGGTGTGGAAATGGGGATGAAATCCAGCCACCTGCCGGAAGTGGTGTAGGTGTGGCCATGTCCCCCTGGGGAGCTGTAGGGTGGGAGGTGGTGGTGATGATGGTGATGGTGATACTGGTTTTGGTGGTGGGCCGTTGTGGTGATGTTGTTAGGTTGCGTGGCCATCACGGTCTCAACACCTGCCAAACCTGTCTTGGGGCTCGCATTGTTTGCGTCCGGATACAAGGGCACTATCGACGACTCATTCTCTTGACCGTTCATTGGGACGGGAGACCAGCTATGCCAGCTGAAATATTTTAACGAGCAATTTAAATACATTCAACGCTACACTTGCATGTGTTGCATACATTAGTTAGTTGGTTGGTTGGTTAGTTAGCTAAGCTGCTGCTACATGTATATCATATCTGGCGTGGTAGCATCAATGAGAAACGAGATTTGTGTGGACCAAATTCCAATTCTCGCATTTCCTCTCTTTCTCACACAGTCTGCGTCTCTCTGGTCGGGCAACTTTTTGCGTTTTTGTGAATGGATTCAAATCAAAGTCTGATCACGTAAACAGAAACGCAGACGACGACGACGACGACGATCAAGAAATATCTGAGTCAATGGCAAGCATTTTAGATCATGAATGACGAGGGTAATGGGTGACACGGGGAGATGTGTCGCTTACTTCCTCTCGCAGGTTATGAAATTTGTGATCATGACCGCTCTGCCCTTTCCGCATGGACACTTATTCACCACTGTCTACCATGTAATACAATGAGTCAGCACGAGCAACAATAGAACACATTGTTGGCTGCAACATACACCAAATTCCGAGTATTCGACCAATTAAGTGATATATATAATATAATATAATGGTCCACGCAGGCTAGACTTTTGCCCAGACATGCAACAGGTAACCAAAAATCTGATGATGATAACATGCCACAGGCTTTGAAACAACAAGCCAAGCGTGAGATGCTCCCGACCGACTACTTTTAGGTATTTCCTTCCTCCAAACTTTATTATATATTTCCACTGCTTACTTCATAATAATTAATGCTTGTGTACTACGACGACTACGACGACGACTCTCGCGAGCTGCCACCAGATTTCATCTCTTTAATAAGTTTGCGGTAATATAGTTTAATAATAAGATGGATGGTGATGCCAGTCACTGATATGCGTCCACTCGTTGTTTGCTTTACTAAACCACCAGAGAGATCTACTACAATTTCGTATTCAGTCGAGCACCCTTTGACATGGACAATTTGCGTCTAAATTAAATCTTGTCTGTAGTGAGGTACCTGCTCAAATTTTACATAAAAAGTCTGAAACGTAGTAAAAATTTTACTACGACTACCCGTCACTATGCAGAAGTAAGTAAAGTATTGTGCAGTGCGGGTTCAGGGTTCGATAGCTTTGTTAATTAATCAAGAACGATAAACAAGTCCAGTACAATATTTGAAAAAGTAAATGCACTCATGTCCTTGTGCAGGTCGGAAAAGTCACACTAATTGTTAATGCTTTCTTCGCCGTGAGATTTTACTTATTTATTACGGGAAAAGATTTGCTCGAGTGTACAGGATTGTTTACCAGATAAGCTGACGCACGACGACAAAAAAACTGGAAGATGATCATGTATTTATGTGTATATGCTGGATTACACGTATAAAAATATATAGGAATCGAGTACCTGTGATTATTTCCTGTTAATAAATTGAATTAAGCCCGGCGTGGCGTCTATTTACTTGTGGTATTCCTCTTTTGCGGCCTGTGGCACCCTTACGCCACCACGTTTTTTATGTATTTTCTTCACTCCTAAAACTACTGTGGACGGAGGTCGTGGTCAGTCACCACCCACCCACGCGACTGTCCTCTTGGGTGACTGAATACATGATAAGCGCGGCGTCAGTGTGACCTCCCACTTGCGGATTGACTGAGTTTGTGAAAAAGTGCGGAAATAATGAGTGAGGTGGAAGTATTTCGAATGAGTGCCCACCACAGGAGGAGAATGCGAATGATTCATTTCGCCTCGCCACGCTGACTGACTGCTGAGTGATCATTGACCACTGCCAACTAAATTGTTACACCAGGCGAAGGAGAGAGAGATAGAATGGATGGGATTCTCTCGTATCTCGTGGTGGTTGTGGTGGGTGAGTGAGAACGAGACGAGATGAAAGAGCAGGAATGAAATGAAAGGTTGTAGGGCAAGAAAATGAATGAAAGAGAGAGAAAAACTGCTTTTATTTTTGCTTGGCTTACCGTTTCCTGAGCGGAAGATTCTTGTCGTTGAGTTTGCTGGGCGATGGGGACTGCTGTTGCTGCTGTTGAGTGACCAGAGGGTTGTTGTGGTGGTGGTGTAAGCTCAGGTTTATGCTGAGATCAAGGGGCGGCGGTATCGGCTTGAGTTTCCTCAGTTTTGGTGGTACGAGGAGCACTTCTTGTTTTTTCTTGCTGAGATCAGTGGGTTGGTCTTGCTGCTCGTGATGGTCATACGACGACGAAGAGGGGGAAGAAGCCGAAGAAGAAGATGAAATTGGCGAAGTCGTCACACCGCTCTGGCGAACTGATGGAAGTGATGCCTCTCGACCACAGACTGACGATCCTCTAATAATATTCTTGCCATTCCCTCGTTCCTCGTCTTCTGCTTCCCACTCCATCATCATCTTATCTGCTCCTCGATGATATCCCTCCATCCAATTAACTTATAAGCACTCCTATTACTTTACTTGCTCACTTACGTACTTACTACGACTACTTATGATTACTGCTTTATAGGGATTATCACTAACCAGACTGGCTTCTTCTTTGCTCCTAATACACGAAGAGTCCAGTCTCCTTTAAATAAACTCAATCCTCAATCAATCCTATCGCATTCGACAAGCTCACAAACTACGACAAGCCTCCCTGCTCCTGCTTTTCTATCAATCCACAATTATCAACAGAGATAAGCTAAACTTGTTACATTCGGTTGTGGGCTCTCTGTGCAGCAGCAGTCGTCACATCCTCTCTCTCCTCCGACAAGATGAGATAAGGCTAGTAATTCAACTTTGCTTTGTTTGTTAGGTGATTCTCAGAAGCTTCTCCGAACGATGCGATGCGAGCAGCGAATGAACGACGACGACGACTCACTCACTCACTCATAAAAGAAGATGAGACTAATTGTTTGCCAACATTAATGTGAGATGCGATACGAGCTTATCTTCAAATATGTCTTAATCTCCCCTTCCTGTCTTTACAAATAAACAAATAAATATATATTTGGAATCCAGGAAATTCTTGACGTGTTGGTTTTGGTTGTGAAATTAAATACTAGATAACTGATTGTCTACATGAATGGTTTTCTTATTAACTCGGGCAAATCCCTCTATCAATTACTGCCGTTGAGCGTTTTAAATATTCTTCTTGTGATGTGTGTGTGTGTGTGCGTACTTTGCTATAGTTTTCCTTAAATTGTATCTGCTTAAAATTGGTTTAGTAATATATCTTGGTAATAAATTCTTAGGTAAATGTTACAATTAGTACACCGTCTTCTCCCCACTCGTACTACTACTACTCTCGTATAAACATGGTTCCCATGCAGGTAAACGGTTTGATTCTGGCCTTACAAAATGCGCTGGATGAGATTATCTTTAGCATTACTTACTAATTACAATTGAGAGTGTGTGTGTTGTATATTTATAATATCGACGTCGTCGTATGCATCACAAAGAGAAGGAAAGTGTGTGTATGGAAGTGATGATCAAATAAAGTATCTAAATACTCTCTATGTATATATGTATAATGATAAGCTTATCTATTGCCTCCGATCCTCAAGTATTGATGAGAAGGGTGAGCTTATCTTCTTCTCGTCTTCGTCGTGAGGTTATCATCAAGAGGGTTGTGGTGAGCATGGAGTTCTTTTTAGGTGACGCTGTTGACGATTTGTGCTGCGGTGGTTGTGAAGAAGATTCCGGAGAAATTTCAAAAGTTTCTTTGTGATCTTTGTTCGGCGGCGGTTGTTGATTTTTGTGCTGGTGGTCACCAAAATTATTGTCAATATCGATGAGACAAGTTCTCGGAGGATGAGGAGGACGGAGTCCCAGAGCTCGTTTCACTTTGTCCAAACGCTTAGATTTGAGTAGTGCATCCATTCACTCACTCATTCACTCGGTCTCTTTCTCCAGTTCAAGATCACTTTCAGAGACGACAATTACTACAACGATAGTAATAAATAGTTCTCAAAAGGGGATTACCGATTGTCACGAATTTAGATACGAGTCCTTCGTCTCACATTACTAACTCTTCTTAATCTCTGAATTTTATTATCACTTTTATGGGTTGTGTTGTGTATGTATTGCTTTCGTCTTGTTAATTAATATCACACGGGTGATGGTTCTTTCTGCTTATTGGATCAGTTATCGGAGACGTCTATCTCCTTTTCTTTCAAGTTGAACGGATAGCTCACTCACTCGTTAATGAGAGTTTGTTATGTGAAACAGGATCAGTCCAGTTTCGCTCAAGAAGAAATGACCAACATGAATTTGTGAAATTTAAAAAAAAATGACAATGTGTGTAAATGATTTGTGGGCAGTTTTGTGTGTACAGGTTGACAGTGTGGAAGGAAATGTGGGTTCGGAAACGGAGACGACTTTGGAGGTATGAGAACGTTGGAGGAGGAGGAGGAGGAGAGGCTGGAGGAGAGTTTGTGTTGTTGAGAGGTCCGAGGTTGAGCTGAGATTGTCTTTGCAAAGGCGTGCAGTGTTGGTGTAATAAAGCCCCTCGCTCGCGTAATGTTGTCGAGTTTTATTTCTCATGCCAGCAGAAGTACCATAAGCAAAGTATTACCACCACTCGGACCCATGATATGATGGTAAATACGTCGACGTATGTATTGTTGGTGGTGGAATACGTATTTAAGAGCAATGGAGTTTCAGCTTTGGTTAAGGTTTGTGAGTGAGTAAAGTTGAAAGTTGTTTTATGTATATGCTCTTATTTTACTGGCAACTAGCTAAGCACCACATGCAGCAATATAGAAAAGACGACGATGGAAAAGAGGATGCATTCAATAATTATGTCCTGTTTTCACTATGCAACACAATTCGATGGAACAAATGACTTGATCCAATTGATCCAATTATGCAACCTTTTCGTGACCGATGAGACCGTCTCAACTTCCCCACGTCCTCAAACTGCAGGATAAAGTTGACCACGCGTGCGACCATGGACATCGTTTAGGCGTTGATAACTGGACACAATTTTTAATTTTTGCACTGGTTACATCACGACGCCTAGAAGAAGACAATACGCCACAGCACATTCGCTTTGGAAGAGCCGTTCGAGTTTAAACCAAAAGTTGAACAACATTTAGCGTGTGAGATGGAACTGGCTGGGCATTGGGAGTAAACTTGAGCCAAGTGCATCCCATTCGTGGTGACTAAAGGCTTTACACTTTCTATTCATTTTTGTGAGGTAACATCATCGCATCATCTCGTGCAAGTAGTGTAATCTCACTCGCTGGATGCATATATGTACTTACGACTAACCAGTAACCACCTACCAAACCTACCTACCTACCTTACACTCACCGTCGTCGTCGTCGTCGTCGTCCCTCTTTTGAAAGCATGGAGGAGATGAACCTTTCAAATAAAAAAGTCAGGATTCGAAAAGTGCATGCATGGATATGCCCATTATTTGGTCGTTGGTTGCTGCTGCTTCCTTCGGACTATGACAATACCTGCCTGGCTCTCTCTCGACAAGTGCATGCACATCAGTCACTTCCATCCAGTCGAGAATTACTTGGAGCATATCTTATTCCATGATTTCGACTTTGCCCAATGCGGAGACACTGTGTGTGTTGATCGTTTAAAACAATGACCAAATCTACGTATGCTGCCTGCATGAGCAAAAAACTTTAAATTTTAATTTAATGGGATCCAGCTACTGTGTTTAGCATTCGCCTCATGGATGGATGGTCATGATTTAGGATGCGTATGATGAGGAGGATGATGATGATGGTCGTGATGTTGCTTAGTTAGTCCAACAACTATTATTGCTGCTTCTTCTGGACTTATTTATTAAGTACGAGTAAAAAATTATACTCTTGATTCGACATTTCAAAAAGATCGAATGTGGCTGGATGAACGGACGGACGGACGTCGATTTTGATATCACTAAACAGAATGTTGTGCGCTGCTTGGTCCAAAACACAACAACAATTAATGATCATTACGAGATAAACGTCGTCGTAATCCAAAGTGTGAGTACCTAATAAATAAGTAATGGCGTCTCTTCTTCTTGTGGCTTTTGGTACTTTGCGGTTTTCGCAAACCGGATTTGGCAAAAATTAAATTAAAGGGATGGATGATCAGTTTGAACTCAATGTTCTCATTTAAGTGCAATAATAATAAGTCTCCCCGAATGAACAGCCCAGCCATGCGAATTTATAACGGGATGTCAACATATGCTCAAATGAGAACAAAGGTTCTTGCAAATATATTCGCTTGTTGGGGGTGCAAAAGCTGTTCTCTCCTTTATTCGGAGGGTATATGTGCATGCATAATTTATTCTAAAAAATGAGTCCTTCGGTTGGTCGGGGGGACGATGGATGGCGACGACGATTGGAAACGAACCAATTTAATCCCAACTCGCCTCACCTTTTCTTTCTGCAACATAAAATCATTTTCAACCGGTTCACGTACTCCATTAGATTAGGACCAATATGCAAATCCTGTCATTAAGACATTTACCACCACAATTTATTTGTTTACTGACACACTCAATTCTGTCACATAAAAGTGCATACATGGTAAATTAATCGTGGCACTGGCTGTGCTGAGCTTGCCATTAGTCATTCCACGATCAGTTCCTCGTCGTCGTCTTCTTCTGGGGAGCAGCTTATGACTTACTCATCATTTATATTATTATTATTATTATTGCTATTGCCATTGTGCCGAGCAGGTAGCTCGATCATAACAGCCATCACATTATGAATTACCAAGTTTATTGCATTTTCACCATTATTATGGCAAAATCCGACCAACTGGTAATGCATAAAGTGTGTAGTCGTCGTTTGGATTCTAAATACGCGAGTGAATAGTATGTTGTAGAAAGAGGAACGAAATAATAAAACCTTATTTGGCTGGCTGGCTCTAAATGTTTGTAAATTTTGGGTTTGTTTTATTTCGTCATTTTATGTGCTTCTCCTTCTTTCTTTATTGAAGAAACAAGACTTTGTTTAAGTGATGAGACAAAGGAGCACATCCTGCACTCCATGTATTTCTACACTCATACGCCGATACACTGGCAGAGATGACTTTCTGTTTGTTTTTGTTCAGCAAGTTGGAGGATTAAATACACTGTATTATGAATCCTTATCGACGTTTAGATTTGCACCACTTTGTTGCTCAAATTCAAGATTCGTTGAATGAGTGAGTATTTTATCCATTTTTTTACTCTGAGAGTCATTGAATTCGCGCAGATCATCATGTTACATACATACAACACGAAAGTGGTGGTGTGGCAGATACAGACAGTCAACATTTGTTAATTCAAACACCATGAATACTAGTTAATAGTCAGTATTTAGTAGTAGTAGTGGCATAACATGTACATGCAATGACATTGGATGTCGAGTTTATAGTTGGGTGATCTTGGCAAATACTTTAAATACACACACACCAATAAATCACGAGTCCATAAATAATCAGCGATTAGATTTGTTTTTGCGTCCTTTAAAATAAATTCTTTCCATTTTTATTATCGACAAAAAATAGCTTTCTTGCAATAACGAAATCCTGTGGTGGTTGGTGTAAGTGTAAAGTTCGGGTCAGTCAGATATTGCCCAATCGACCCATCATCATCACAAGTTTGAACCAGACTTGCGTTTTCCTTGATAGGACGCTCTCTTATTCATTCTCATATTTTTAATTCAAGCCCGTCTATCATCAACAAGCCTTGTTTACAAAAAAGCTGACGTTGACGAAAATAATCTAATACATTCGACCCACAACTTTATGCACTGGGTACGTTACATAATTATGTGCATGTTACATATGCTGCTGCTGCTTTACACGAGTCCCACCAACAGTCGACTAGAACCAGCTTCAAACGCGTATGCAATGCTGTGCAGAGTGTATGGTAGAATGGTAACGTGATAGTTCGATTGCCCAAATTAACATTCAACATTCATCATCTCTTCTTTCTTATTAACTTTGTATACGCATATCGAAACGAAATACGATTGCCCAACAACAGCACATAAGAATATATATCGGTATTATTACGACTATTACATTATGTCCATGTGTCTCAGCTCATGAACTACATGCTATATGTAAGTTCCATGTTTCAGTATGTATGTACATACATACGTGAATATGCTTTTTTTTATAAAAATGCAGCATTTATGCCTGAAATACATCCAAGTGTAAAAAAAATAAATGGACGCAGAGCAATAATAATAATAACCCTCTGAATGCACACTTTAATATCGTCCCATAATAATATTACGCCACGAGAAAGTAAATAAAATGCCAAGTTAATGATAATTAGGAAGAAACCACGTTAAAAACCGTAGGAAATGATCATTACTCGGCTACATTCATCCATCCATTGGACATTTGATACCCCGAGAGTCTCACTGTTCAATGGGCCGTATCGTGGTCGTCTCATGTCTGTTGTATAATAATGACTCAAAGTCGTCGTGCCAGTTGCTTACACAAGTTCCTTCCCGATAAGAGAGCGCAGCCCAGCGTTGGTTGGTTATGCCAACAAAGTTATTACGCAAGGCAGACAAAACGTTCTTTATTTGATTCCCTGCACAGCAAACCGAGCCACGTTTTGTCCAATGGAGGGAAGACGAGGAAAAGAATATCATAGAAAATAAGTGGTCTCCCCTTCGTCCGTCTCATCTCGCGTCCCATTTTCTCGTGAAAAGTGTCTTGGACTTGAAATAGGGATGCTGCATGTTGCTGCTCGCAGGAGAAAAAGCAGGGCCACCACACAGCAAAAAAGTGGTTGCATCACACAAATCTCGGATGGATTAGCTCGACTCTCTTTTTTTACACGGGATTACACTGCATTCATACCACTCGCTACCAAAACTATGTCCGTCCAATAATAATAATAACAAGAAGACATTGGAAGATGTTTCTCTTTTTGGTCCAAGTCGTCCTGTGTGTACATTAAAAAAAGTACTCCTCCAACAAGTACACAGCCACAGCCACGGGAGACGGGCGGGTAACAGGAGTTGTGGTCCTTCTCCGCTCGTCCTCCTGCTATCTCTCTCCATGTAAATGTATGTAAGCCTTTGGTTTTTGGATGGATGGAGAGAGTTTTGAGGTGATAAATGTTGAAGGAAAATGAAACTGAAAAAAATCCCTATGGACGTGATTTGAGGAGAAATAATAATACGGAGAATGGATTCATCAGAGACTCACGCTTATTCAACACTACGATTCATTGCTGAAGAAGTAAACGTTTATTGCCCCTTCCTCACCAAGTCCAAGGTAAAGGTTGCATGCTCCATGTTCTCATTCTGACGCTGCTGCTGCTTCTTTAGTTGACGAGATGAATATGCATCTGGTGTTGATGGTCATGTGTGTGTGAGTTAAGTGGAGTTTCGACTGTGTAGTAAGTAGCAGCAGATAGAGATGAGAAAATCTATGTGCAGGGCTTCATTTAAATGCAAACCATCCACAAACACTGGACCTGCTCTCTGTCCCAAGAAGAAGATGACTTGCACTTCGTCAAATAAAAAACCTACAGTGCAGACTCCATATAGCCCGAGTCAGGGACAGAGTCCCTGACTCCGTGAGTCCTAGCTGTTTCTAAATTTTTCTCCGAATTGACCGACATAATATTACCACTTTGAACTTCCACAGCTATATTTGCTATCAAGAAGTGGTCTTTAGCCTTCGTACCAAATTTCAGATGGAAAAAATTAAACTTAAAAAATGGTATGGGTTACCCTCCAGGGTCACTCTGGTTAAAATTCGCTCACTTTTAACTTCATATCCTTTCATGAGAAGCCATTAGGTATGACCTTGCCGGATTTAATGTTTTTAAAGTAATTTCTAAAAATCGGTATGGGTCACCCCATAGGGTCGCTCCTGATAAGAATTTTACCAATTCCACGTCATATTCTTCTATTAAGACCCATTAGCAACCTCTCTACCAAATTTCAGCTTGTTATGACGATTTTGAAAAATCAGTATGGGTCATCCCATAGGGTCCCTCAAGATGAAAATTTTTCCAACTTAAAGTCATTTTTATCTATTAGGAGCCATTAGCAACCTCTGTACCCAATTTCAGCCTTCTACGACAATTTTGAAATTTGGTGCATAATACCCCACCCACTCCGATGACCCCCACCGGTCAACCACTTGACCGATTTCGCCCATCTTCGAACTCGTTTCCTAACTTTGTCCAATATGCATACGGTAAAAATTTCAAGTCAATCGGTTCAGCCGTTTTGGCTCTATCGTGCCGGACAGACGGACGGACGGACGGACATGACGGTTCCATAAGCCCTGACTCGGGCTAAAAAGGCTCGACATGGAGCAAAAGTAAATTTACTCAAGTGTACACTACACCTATTTGTACTCTCCCATTAGTCTTGTTGCGTATTAGTCACTGCCACCACCTTCACTTACCACACGGCCATATCGACAGCCCTGCTACACATGCATATACTACTCCCAACCTTGGTCCAGTCTACCTGAAAAAGAGTAAATAGTGAGAGAGAGAAAAAAGCAAGTAATTGCCCAGACTGCACTGAAATGAATCTTCTTTTGTAGATTTGAAGCCAGATTACGGACTCGAGAAGAAGAAGGTGTAACTCACCCTCAACAGTGCAATATTAAACCAACGATCCAACTAATTTCATAGGCTAAACTTTTTTCCTTGTCTCGTCCTCACTAACCATGCATGGGGCCAAAAGTAGTAAGTTAAGTCAAGTGAGTAAGTTGTATCGGGAGAAGAGGTGAAGGTAATAATGCGACTACGACGCTATGCAGATGATGGTGCTGCTAACTGAGGAAAGTCAATGGATGGAGGAGGAGGTTGCGCGAGGTAAGGTGAGATCATGAACTGGGCACGATTCATTCCCATCCATCACCAATCGGCGATCAGAGAGAGAGAACACTGAACCAAAAGACTTTTTTGAGACGGATGCAAATTGGGCAATCTCCTCAGAAATTCGTGTCTGTCCTGTCAACTCTTCAACGGGAGGAGAATGCACCCAAAAATCACCATCTCGGAATGAATGAACTTTTGAGACGGTTTCAAAATATGAGGAGAGAAAGCAGAAAACGGCTCAGTTGGATTTAATGTTGCGAAAGGTGGCATAATTATTCTAACAGCTCTTTTCCAAGACATGGATTTTCTGTGTTTCCGGATCCTCAGATAATGGTTTGACTTTGTAGCAGTCGGCCAGAGCGGTGGTCGGGAGGCTAAACTTCATCAGGTTGGCGAAGGGTTCGTCCGCGCCGGTGGTGTTGTAGGCGGAAACCACTTCCACAATCTTGGACCCGTCCTTGTGACACTGGATGAGGGTGACCCCCTTCTTCCCGGCACTGCGGAGCATGGTCGTGATTTTGATTTCTGTGGGGGCTTCCTTCGGGGAACCATCGCCGAAATCCACGTCCACCTTGGTCATTTTGGTCAGTGCGCTCACTATCAGGTCCCCTTTCCCGTGAATCATTCTGACCTTGCAGGTATGGTGCCATCTGTTCCGTTCGGGTAGAAATTAGAGATAATTTTCAGCATAATTGCCATACTAAGAATTGTACTGAAACGTTTTGTGGTGCTGAGTGGGTAAGATAGATAAATATGCGCATTGTGTCTGTCTATGTACTCACCCTTTTGGATGATCCAATTTGTCGGTACGGGTCTTGAAGCAGGCGTCATGAAATTCGTCCACCCACGCCGGCTGATTGGAAACGTCTTTGCAGGAATCTCTTTGTTTCTCCTCTGCCCTTGAGAAACTTTGGGTGAGGAGAAGGCAGCAAGCGAGGAGTACACGAATGCTGAGAAGAGCCATAATTACGCAATGCGGTCAAGCCGTATACTAATGCATGGACATAATGATGGACAATGTCAACAGGGAAGCAGTTCTGTGGAGTTTATTGATAACTCAATTGTTGACAATTGATAAAAATGACAAATGTTTGTAAACTCGAGTACAATGTGCATTTGTGATTTGTGCATAAAGATAATGTGTCATGTACACAACTCCCCACAACAGAATTTGATGCTTATATTCATTCTCTCTGTAGCAGCAGTAGTATTTTAGGACATGCTTTTTTAGTCCATTCTTAAAACTTGCAAAATATCTAAAAAAAATATCTGAGAGATTAGCATGACGATAACTTACGGGTGAAAGATGCATATGTTGGATCACGTAGCAGGCGATGTCCGTGGCATGGGTTACCTTCCCCCGGACAAAGTTGTTAAACGGATAACCTAAGAGGTCACGTGCTCGGAGTTTGGATCATGGCGAATCTTTTTAAGTAATGTGACGACCTCGGAGTGAGTTTGAGCGAGGGATGTGGAGTGAAATAGGACATCAATGGAAGAAAGTGTCGTCATTTCGCTGGCGTAGTCACTTTCTCTTCATTCACGGCAGCCTCAAAGTTGTGACATCTGACCTGCCAACTATAATGAATGAATTATTTTTTCATAATGTAACAATGAGGAATTGTACAATAGTGCTGAAATAATAATAATAGTTAATAACTATGCATTATTTAAACCACTTCATAAATCCCATCGCCCACGGTGCAAAGCAAGCGATGTGCATCCTTCACATCGTGGAGGATGGAGTATTGACATGTTGACTCTTCTGCGACCTAACGACGACAACAAGGATTTTCACCATGAGTTTGATAGTGTAACTCTGTTTATGATATTTCAACCACCGGATTTATTCGACTTTCTTATTTATGAAAAATTCAAATGGTTCATGGAATGAATTATTTACGATAATCTGATCACAATTGTTGTTTAAGCATAATTTTCACAGGGTCAATCCCACAGTTAAATCTGGAGATGAGACAATAAAAGCACGATTGTCTTATTTTTATTCCATTGGTGTCGATGTATAAAATTAAACAAATGCCTGATTCAATCAACATTTTATTGTATACATTCTCACAAGTTATCCTTCGTAATGCTGTTTATGCGTACACTCAGACGACGAAGGAATTATGTAAGTATTTCTGGGAACATTGATCCATATGCGAACCTAGTCATTACTTAATTTCAATCCATCATAAATTCCACAACAAATAACATTTAATTTATGATCCAGATGCTAAACAATTGGTTAGGTTTTGTATGCGCAGAATATTAAATAAGCATAATCATGCTAAATTCACATTTCAAAGAAACAAGCGATGACTCCCTCGATCTCTTTCTCTCTTTTAAACCGGATACGATACGATTCGCTGGTTTACTCTAATTTTTATAAAAATTTTGCATTTTTGAGCGCATCTCATACATTGCGGTTCACACAGTTTCATACATACGTTGCATTGCATTGCATGCCGGCAAGAAATTAATGACCTGACGGCCAAATGATACTATCTTTAAAAATTTCCGTGTAAAAGAGTATGCACTTTCCGGCTTGTTTCCCTCTTCTTACTCACCAGCAGAATTTCACGAATGAGGATACGATGAGGCAGCTACTGATTACGAATACATATGTACAAACGTGTGTATGGGTACATGAGCAATACCAACGCGTAGTAATTATAACATAGCCGAGCTTTATTTATCAGAATTTTCCCCTTCGCATATTCCGTCCGGTCAGCAAGCCGAGCCTACACAATATTCATCCGGTTCGTGTATTTTACTATATTTTAATCCGTCCAATTAATACGTACATAATACGAGTATAAGTTTTTTTGCTAATGAATTTCATGGTATCATAAATAAATACGTAGGCACTCGCATGCTGTGCCCATGTGTGGACGAGTTCATTTTAATAACAATTCCCCTTTGCTTTGCAGTGGATGAAATGACCATCGATTGAGCGATCCTTCATATCATGTATAGCACAGGATTTAAAAATCTGTGATTTCGCAATTAATCACTGACAAAAATTTTTACGCTATTTCTATTTGTGGCCGGATGACAACTAATTTTTATGAAAACTTGAATTAGAATTTTTCTCATCATCCCTCGCATGAAAAGATATAAAAAGCACATAAAATAAAAGAAATAAAAATCGAGCATAAAATGAGAACGATTTTAATTTCCTCATCGACTGGCCAACGTGAAATCCACTCTGATCTTTTCATCTTAATCCGGATTGTAAACCCTAATATTAAAAATAAACAGAGTAATTCTACCCGACAATGAAAGGAAATGATTCACGGTGGTTGTGAAACTCTTGTTCCGAACAAGTTGCCCACTGCTTCTCACCTCCACCAGCTCGCCACTCTCGGCTGCTGATGGAGGTCGAAATCGAAAATCTTTTCATGCGATTTCTTTTATCCAAATTGAATAAATTGCACCAGACCCTTCAAAGGAGTTTAGAAATAAGGGAGAGATTAGAGTTCACAGACAGATGAAAACTGAAATCGGCAGGTTATACGGACGTATTTATAAGTTTATTGTGATTCAGATTTCAGTTGTTGGTCATTCAGAGTGCATGGGTTTTCTTCTTCGGTCGGTGGATATGCATGCACATGATCGGAATATGTGATCGGGATCAAAGAAAAGTTTTGTCATTCGGATCCAACCAAACTTCATTTGGCATTGAAAGTTGTTGTTTTGTATTTGGTTTCGTGAACCTTTTCCCAATGTTTACATGATGCATTTCTCTTGTACAAAATAGGTTCGGCCTACCCAACCCACATACGTACACATGTAGCACAGTAACCAATACACCAAATCTCACTCCTCAAACAAATGGTCTGGTTCCATGTTCTTGTCCTATTTCCACTGCATCCCGTAACCGTAATGTACCTTGCGACTGAACTGATGATTGAGTAGTTTTGCTTCCTGATGAGATGACTCACTACTCTGCAACTCGGTTAACGGTAAGAAGCCAAGTTGATTTGGTGTGGGAATGATAAACATGCAGTCAGTCGTCGTCGTGGTCGTGAAAAGCCTGGCTCACAAAAGTGTGAAATGTTCCGATGCGTCACCATTTTTGGGTTCTGCTCATTTTAGGAAAATGTGAAATCGATGAGTAATAAGAAACATTACCGGCAATGCAGAATAATTGTAGTGCACAGTAAATAAATACTCGTGAAATGCAATGAGTGAAACAACAAACTCTTTCAGGAAAATTACTGTGTTCGAGTATACAATATGCATGCATACAATTAAATTGGTAACCCATAAGTGCACCCAGATTATTGAGTTTAAATTTACACTGTGGTTGCTCACTTTGTCATGAGCAAAAGCCAAACTAAAAGTGAGAAACACCTTATTCACAACATCAATTGTTCCCAACTTGCCTCTGGTTCTGATGTTTTTGTGACCTTTTCTCTCGCCTGTTATTCCACAGGGAGCGTAATTATTTGAGCTGGAAGTGCAGAAATAAAATCTCTCCCACAACGACATGTGCACACACAAGTTGCATGTGGTCCACACGCCCTGCATGCAAAGTCGGGCAAAAAAGTGGTGAAGTAAAGTTGGCAACAGTTTGTTTTTCATAAAATTGAAATGGGTCTTATTAATCATCCCCCAGAGAGAGAGAATCGTCTCACTTTTCCAACTCCTTCGTGGAAGGGATGATGTCACCAGTTCCTCAATTCCCGTTTCTCTCCACGGTTCGACTCATCCACATTAATTAAGTTTTGAATTGAGCCACCTTTCCAATAAATATTGTTATTATTTATTAGTCCTGGCTGGTGGTGGACTTGATGCAGCGAATAATCTGTATGTACACTCATGCACACGCATATATTAATCCACATTGACTTGCAACATTTGCATGGCCATTGTTGCTTTATTTCACTGAGTCATCCGATTCATCTCTTCTCCAGTTGTGTAGCCTGGAGGAGCTGCAATAGCTCGAGTTCACTTTATTGGATCCTGGTTGTTCGTATGTAATTTTGTATATGCGCCCCGTTTTGACTCGTGTCATGTTTCTCTCTTTACTGGGCTGATAGTGATGGATGAGCTTCATTTCAGTTTTTTGTCGGAAATAAAAAATATATTTTATTCAAATAAACAAAACAAATCGAGTTGGCTGCAGGTTGCACATGGCTATTTGCTGCGTCTCTTAATGAAAATGGAGTCTCGTCGTCGTTGAATTTTCGGGACTGCAACAGTATCGTTTCATCAACAGTACATAATGCTTCCTGAAGCAATTTCTGATGTGCACAGCGTTGCGTATGGAGGGAGACCCGATGTGGAGAAAGGTGTGTCATTTCCCTGTCAATTGTCATTAGTCATTTTGCTGTGCTATAATCTAACAAATAATGTTCGTGTTTTTGTGACATTATGAATTAAGGAAATAAGTGGTAACCGATGGTTAAAAGCGTGTCCGTGTTGTTTTACTGCCATAGATGGGACATGCATTAGCATTATCAGGAAATGTGCGTTAGTGTGTCCGAGTAGAAATATTTGGTAGGATTATCTAACTAAATCCGATGGTGGTAGCAAAAGTTCTGTGTGACATATTGATGCGTTATGTTACGTTCCTTATTTCTGGGTTATACGCATCAGTTTATTTAATTGGACACAGCAGTGGTTGACGAATGACGGTGACTATGTATTGACGAAGAGGTGGTCGCATAGTTCAGCCATATATTATTTTATTTACATATGTGGTAGAGTGGGATAGTTGATACATAATTATGTGTATTTGAAGGCACACTTGTGAATAGTAAATAGTAGTTCATTTTAATTTGTTGGACGCACAGTTATTAAAATCTGTCCAAAGCTGTTTTTACATACATATCATTTTGTCCTTCCACCGATACCATAAAACTGTGTCATCAGTATGTTTTGTCATCTTAAATTACTCAGACGCTTAATTGCCAAAGTCAATGGCTTTTCACTTTGCTGCCTTATTATTATTATCATTAAGACCCAGCTAAATATTTATATTATCAGTTTTCTGGCTGCTGGCACCCGGTCAAGAAATAAGCCCAGAACCAAAACAATGATTGATAATTGTCGTACAATCATCAATTTCATAATTTTTTGTTTACAGTTCAACTACGAACTGGACATGGTGCTCAGCGCGTAATCAGTATCGAATATCGCTTCTATACAAACAGGCTTCATAATTATTACCATCAACCAATTCTCCATATCAGCTCCTGCCTTACGCAGTGAATAAAATAATTAATCGCACAATAGTCAATTTCCTTCACTCAATTGTTGATGATTAGCAAAAGTGGGAGCAAAAACAATGCAGCAAAAAAAACGACGACGGAGTAAGAAACTGATAAGACGTTTTGATTAACTTGTTGATTGTGTCTGACTCGACGGACGGGTCGTTGCTCATTGTGCGCTACAACGCGTATGTAAATCCGCACTGGACGGAAATCAACGTCAAGATGCAAAAATGGAATAATGATCGTAACTTGGCTAATTATATGGATTACGCATTAATTAATAATACAATCCGGGGTAACATGCGACTTGTTTACGCAATAATTAGTAGATGGTGTTATACCTACATACAGACATAGATGCATAATAAATCTACATAGACAAGCTTTTTCTTTTCAGAGATGATTTACGGTTACAAGTTTATGCGATCACACATGTAAATGTGTAATTAGTTGTCAACCATCGTAATGAGAACATTTATTTAAGCTAAGACTGACGTGAATGCGAGTTTTATGTGACCAGGCTAAACATGCGAATTACAATTTGTAATC